TTGAGGTAAAAGATTTAGGAAAGATTAAGGAATCAGTTCCTTGAGGCATCTACTTTATGGTTATTTGTCAGTAAACTGTTATCGACATAAATAGATGTCCCACATGATAAACAGACATAATGGTTTCAAATTATATAGTCTAATACATGCTATTCTTGATTCTGTATTCCTGTCATGTAAACGCAACATTGTTTCCACGGAAATGCCAGTATGTGCATTTAGTATTTATGCAGCAAGTTTTTCCTGTGTGTAAACATGCCTTTCGAGAAGAAGGCAGGTATGTATGCACTGTCCACATACCTACCCAGCACATCGAGCCAGAGTCAGTATATTGTTGCTGTAATGGTCATGTTAACATGCAATCTAACAGTGTGTTCAGCCAGAGAGGAATGTGGAACACTGGCCATGACTTTCCTAATCTGTTGACAGTCAGTCATTCTGTGCTGAAGGGCATTTAGTTTTTCTTTGCAACCTTTCTATAATGGTCTATGTTAGACTAATGCTTAGTCCCTGAATACATATAATTTTGATAGTAACAAATAAACTGAAAAGGAGCCCCAGTGAGATGGGAGATTCCCTGAAAATCCTTCAGAGGAAATCTAATGCTTAGTACTTGCCCATTCATCTAGTGAGATGGGAGATTCCTGAACCTGAGGAAATCTAGACTTGCATCTAGGGCTTCAGCATTGCAGGGAGGGCAAGCAGTAGGGAAAATAATGTGGTTCAGGGACTGTGAGATGGACTAGGTCTATCAGATGTGCCTGCTGTACTTTTAAGGAAACAAAAGTAAAACTGGACATATTTATCTGACTTTTATATGTATTGAGTTGGGTGTGGCAGTGTCAGGTTCAAAATCAGAATGCAGGATTAATTTAGGGAAATGAAACCTACTTGCACCTGGTGCAACCTAGGGGAAAAACCTACACCTGGGGCAACCTAGGGAAATGAAACCTACTTGCATGCAACCTAGGGAAATGAAATACTTGCACCATGGGCAACCTAGGGAAATGAAAACAGGTTGCACCTGCAACCATGAGAAATTATAAGTATATGTAATGTTTGATATGAAAGTATTGGTATTGATTTAATTTAAAACGTCATGTTAACAACATTATTCTTGGATTGATAAGATCCTTTTGTCTTGCGTCATAAATTTCATGACATGAAGTCCGTAACAGTCTTCACAGTCACTGCTCCAAGCCAGTCAAACGTAGAACGTTGAAATGTAAGCAAATTAGATTATTTCTGGATAAATTAACATAGTTGGTATCTTGAATATATTAACATGAACTGAGTACAGGTTTGTGTAAACATGGAGTTGCATTTGGCAGTTTTAGGTTCCACCAGTGCAAGTTCTAAATGCTAAAGTGAGCCTTGGAACTGAACATGATGAAACCTGTTTCTAGTTTTGTTGGTCTCACTTCTGGGTGCCTTCTGGCAAAGTGTTGACTTGTTATGCCAAAGTCCAGGGGTGCGGTGGGCTAGCCCAGTAGTTAATGCGTTCACTCGTCACGCCGATAACCTGTTTCCGATTCCCCACATGGGCACAATGTGTGAAGCCCATTTCTGGTGTCCCCCGTCTTAATGTTGCTGGAATATTGCTAAAAGAGGCGTTAAATCATACTCACTCCATCAGTGAAGGCCTCAGGGTTTGATCAACTCTCACTCACTCACTCACTCATGGTCAGGTGACAGAAAACACAACTGGTGTTGTGTAATCGTGAATTGATTCATGAGATAAGATTGAGGTTATGCTTGAAGGAGAACTGGTCAGCTGATCTGGCTATCATCAACTTGATGAGATGAGACTGAGATTAAGATGTTGATCAGGAAATATCGTGACCTTTGAAGACCTCTCGGAAATGATTTAAAGGATGGCAATTTAATTGCAAACAACAGGATGCCATTTGTAGATTATTTCTATTAGTTTGACCTGTCTAATGCCCATTTCTTAGAAGTAAGATGTCCAACAATGCTGATCATTGTTTATATGTATTCAAAAAAATAATTCTGCACCTGTTTATGTGGAGAAAAAATTTAAGCTCTGAAGGGGATTGGCTCGCTGACTTGGTTGACACATGTCATCTTATCCCATTTGCATAGATCGATGCTCATACTGTTGATCACTGGATTGTCTGGCCCAGACTCCCATTATTTACAGAACGCTGCCATATAGCTGGAATTTTTGCTGAGTGCAGCAAATTAAACTCACTCACTCACTCACTCACTCATTCTGATAAAAAATGTTTTGATTTCAAACAAATGGTTGATCCTTTCACCAGCTGACTGGATGAGAAGATAATATGTGTGTTACAATTGTTAGTCCAAGAACATTGAGGAAATACTAGATCCTTCCTGACTGTTATACAGATTAGAAACAGCCTGCAGACACTGTATTAGACTACTGCTTAGTCTCTGAATATATAAATTTTGATAGTAACAAATAAACCCATTTAAATTGAAAAGGAGCCCCAGTCAGATAGGAATTCCAGAGGGAATCTAGACTTACTTCATTTAGGGCTCTAGTATTGCAGGGAGGGCTATAGCCTTGCTGTACTGAATGCTGAGCCCATGGATGTATAGTAATGCTATCCTTCGAAGAGGCAAATCTAGATAAGCAGACAAGACCTCAATCTGTTATTTATTATTTTTTAGAAATTATCATTTTAACTATTCATTTTTACCTTAGAGACTTGCGTAAGTCTAGGAGGGCTAGGCAGTAGGGAAAATAAAAATAATGTGGTTCAGGGACTAACACAGACTAACACTGTATGGACGTCATGGAAGTGGCGAAAAGGAGTGAGTGAGTTGAGTTTTACGCCGCACTCAGCAATATTCGAGCTATAAGGCAGCGGTCTGTAAATAATCGAGTCTGGACCAGACAGTCCAGTGATCAACAGCATGGGCATCGATCTGCGCAATTGGGAACCGGGCGAAAAGGAACCTGTTGCTCCCAGTACAATATGGGTTGTACTGGTCTAATGTTACACACTGCTTAAAGTGGACTTTACACATCATACATTGTGTGATACTAAGCAAGTGGTGGTGTGGTGGGAATATGTCTCTGTGTAATATGACCACATAATTGTGATTGAGCACCTGTTTACATTGGAACACTGTACTGATATCTTAAGTATCATTGAAACTGTATCACAACAGCTGTTCATAATGAGCCTTGTCCAATGAAACGAGTGGTTGATAGTATGGAACCAGACCACATTAGCAAGGTGACATACTCGGCCAGGTTACACAGTTTCTTGTTTGGTTGCCAGGTCCTGGGTTGGTGGAATCTCCACAGGCTAAAGTTCAGTGTTGTAATTGTATGTTACTCTGAAGACTGAACTAAACAGCTGATTATCTGTGTCACTGAATGAACCTTTGTCAGTTCAGGGTGAGGGAGGAATTTCTTATTACATCTAGTATTAATAGAATATTATGCTCTCATCAATTTTTGACATGAATGTTTTGTCCCTCATTGAATATTTTTCAAACTAATTCAGTCAAGACTTAATCTTGATTTTAATCTGAAGCTCTTCACAGTCACAATCAAGGTAAAACCTTGATATTAAATTGAAGCTTGTTTAATGAGTTATAAGTCATTCTGGTATATATTTCACCTTTCTAAATATTAGTCTCATAATCATTCGTTGTTTTGTGCTTGCTTATGATCATAACAGACAATGACAATTTTCCCAAATTAAAACTGAAAAAGATACTCATGTTTGCTACATGATGGTTTAGTGGTGGTTCAAGACCAAATGTATGTAGTTGCATAATCATAGACCATCAAGGGGTATATGGAAGCATGGGCGGATCCAGGTTCGAACCCCCTGAACCACCCATTGGCTCCGCCAACGCAAAAAAATATCTTCAATGTGATCTTAAGTCATTTTCAAAAGGGGTGGGGTAGGGGGTGGGGTTTTTCGAACCCCCTGAACCCCCCCTCTGGATCCGCCGCTGGGAAGGCATTTTGTGTAACAGCTTTGAAAATAGCTTGTTATGTATATCAACACATTCATACACAGTGTTCAGGTGAGGCAGGGCAGAGAGGTCAAACCACCCACAATAATCACGCTCCCCACACCCAACATTTCTGTGTCTCCAACACCCTTCAGTGTATGAAATAAGGCCCGTCCGACCGCCCAAGACAGGTTAGATTTCTGACGGACGGTCAAAATTTACAGCAAGCCAGCCTGATGGTCTGGTAATTTTTTTTAGATGTTCCATACATATGAGTAAATTCACCATGTCTTGGTGTCTGGTCTGGTTAAATTCCATTTGGGCTGGTAACATTTTGAAGTTAGCTGCGTTTCTGGCTTATTTCATACACTGCACCCTTACACCCACAGCATTTTTGTGTCACCCACACCTTGACAAAACAATACCTCCCACACCTTGATTATTCCCACCCCAAGCCCCACCCCACAACATATTTGTGTCTCCCACACCTTGAACAAAGCAATCATATTCCCACCCCCACAACATTTTTGTGTCTCCCACACCTTGAACAAAGCAATCATATTCCCACCCCAAAGCAATCATATTCCCACATTTTTGTGTCACCCACACCTTCAATTCAACAGCAATCATATTCCCACCCCCACACCATTTTTGTGTCTCCCACACCTTGAATAAAGCAATCATATTCCCACCCCCACAACATTTTTGTGTCACCCACACCCTCAACAAAGCAATCATATTCCCACCCCCACAACATTTTTGTGTCACCCACACCTTGAACAAAGCAATCATATATTGAGTTTTCAATATTGAATTCAAAATATTGCTTGTAGCCATTAATGAACAAGTGTGCTGGATGTCCTCAGTTACAGTTCACCGATGTGTCAAAACAATTTTCAGTTCAGTCTGTTCTCGTTTTACACAGACATAATTAGCAGGTGAAGCAGAAATTATAATCTGCTCGAGTGCTGAGAGGAATTCATCAGATGTACACCTGCCCATGTGTTGCGATCAGTGCTGAAGGCACGTACAACAGACATGACCAGGATAAGTACATAGTGGTCACACGTCACGGATCGGTAGCCACGGCGAGCCCCAGTGCAAAAAGTAGCATGAAAAGTGGAGTAAGCGTGCTGCACTTGAATTAAATCGCACATGTTACAGCTCAATAGTAGCTGTTCAATACACCAAGGCCGTGGTGTTTGCCGTGACACACAGTCAGCAGAAGGTCCTTGGCTTCGTATGGATACACTGTATGTGCTGCTGTGTGGAGTGTCAGATATATACATTACCAGCAGGTTGTGGAGCATCAGGTGAGTTGTCGGTTCGACTGGGTTATCAGGGGAATGCGCTGTTGTCAGTTTCAGCTTGGTGAGGGTTGGTTTAAGTATTATGGACTGATACAATGTAACAGGGTTCGTCTATGATGCTTGGAATAGGAGTGCAGAATTGATCATGTTCAGGTAGAAAACCATGTCTGGGGATATCTGGTCCATTATAGTGTTTACTGATGGACTAACAACAACAACAATAGAAATGTTATAATGATAACAGCAATAATGATAAATATTGATGATGATGACCATGATGACGACTACAGATGATGATGATGATGATGATGATGACGACTACATATGATGATGATGACTACATATGATGATGATGATGATGACTACATATGATGATGATGATGATGACGACTACAGATGATGATGATGATGACTACATATGATGATGATGATGATGACGACTACAGATGATGATGATGACGACTACATATGATGATGATGATGATGATGATGATGACGACTACATATGATGATGATGATGATGATGACGACTACATATGATGATGATGATGATGATGATGACGACTACATATGATGATGATGACTACATATGATGATGATGATGATGACTACATATGATGATGATGATGATGACTACAGATGATGATGATGATGACTACATATGATGATGATGATGATGACGACTACAGATGATGATGATGATGACTACATATGATGATGATGACTACAGATGATGATGATGATGATGACTACAGATAATGATGATGATGATGACGACGACAGTGATGATGACGATGACAGTGATGATGATGTCGACTACAGATGATGATGACGACGATGACGACTACAGATGATGATGATGATAATGATAGTGATGATGATGATGACAGTGATGATGAGGACGACAATGATGATGATGACGACAGTGATGATGATGATGATGATGATGATGATGATGATGATAACCATGATTTTAAATGAACAAATACTTTTCAATTTTTATTCAATTTTATTTTCAATTATATTTTTAGAACACAGCACCCTTATGAGCCCTTGTGAATATCGCACAAGGACACCTTGTTGGCTGATAGTACGCAGAAAATATGAAATATATGTTGAGTTATTTCAAGACCAGAATAGTGGAGTTATTAGATAATACACAGTTAACCGAGTTGGTACTGTGTATATTTCTCATTTCGTTTTGAAAGAATCAAATGTAAATAGAGACAATTGTAGCAATGCCAGAAGTCAACAAGAATATATTGATTCTTATCCACTGTTCTAAAACAAGACAATTTTGTAAGTCAGATATCAGTAAATCAGTTTTTAGGATCTAGGATTGCTAGGGTTATTCCTTTGTCCTAACATTGGCCAAAGCATGGAAGCAGTACTCGCAGATAGTCATTGTTATTCCGATGAATCCAGTGTTCATGGCCGTTATGGCTTGATATGCAAATTACTATGACTCACATCTGTTGATGCAAGGATCGTGGAGTCGATTATGGAATATTTCAGAATGGAGACAGCTCACTGACTGTTGTAAAGCAGATTTGCTGGTATGTCTTGAGATTCAAAACAGTGAGCAAGTGTCAGTGAGTGAGTGATTCAGTCAGTCAGTCAGTCAGAGTGGTTTAGCACTGCATGGACAGTTTTCCAGTTGTGTCATGGTGTGTCATGCTAATGCTGGAATTAAGCCTGACGTGAGTATAAGCAGCAGTAAGCTGACCCTTTGATGTTTTGGAACAAGGAACTGACTACTGTTTAAAAGATGGAGGATAAGAAAAATTACAAATGTACAAATCTAAATTGGACCAGTTTTAGATATGCTAGATGCCCTGATGAAATTGGAGGTTGTTTCACAGGTCTTTTTAATATTTATATTTAAGCAGTATTGAAAAAATATTCTGTCCCTCAGCAAAACTCAAGGGTCTCAAGTAAGTACACTTTCACGCGGAGGAAGAATGATATTTTGTTGTCAATGACATTACTGCCTCTTGGGAGGATTTCTTTGACTTGCATAACCGAAAACCACTCACGTGTGAAATGAAGGGAGGGTTCATTTTCTCAGTGGTTTAGTTAACACGCAACTTTACTCACATTGAGTTCACAAAATGTTTTATGTTGGAGAAGTATGTGCAAGGCATGAGAAAGGTGGATTATTTAGCATTCCAGCTCTGATTTACTTTTGTCCTATTTCTCTTTTATATGTGTTATGGGAATGGAAATGGTAACTGGTAATATTTCTCACCAGGCAGGGAAAGATATGGGGTGTCAAACAAAAAGGGAATTCCCATGATAAAATTGTATGAAAGATTGGTCTTTATTTAGCATAAAGGTGATGCAGGGCAAATGCAGTAAGGAACCAGTCTGTAAGTACAGGACTCCTGTTTAGTGTTGTCAGTATGAAACAGAATGTCATTTTGATGACCCGTGAAGATCCGGGGTAGAATAGGTCTTCAGCAACCCATGCTTGCCACAAAAGGCGACTATGCTTGTCGTAAGAGGCAACTAACGGGATCGGGTAGTCATGCTCGCTGACTTGGTTGAGACATGTCATCGGTTCCCAATTTCGCAGATCGATGCTCATGCTGTTGATCCCTGTATTGTCTGGTCCAGACTGGATTATTTACAGACCGCCGCCATATAGCTGGAATATTGCTGAGTGCGGCATAAGACTAAACTCACTCACTCACTCATTTTGAGATCTGAGTAGATACACAAGATTGGAAACCTATAGTTTGTGCCTTGCCTTAGTCTTGTGTATGATCTGAGCAGTGCCCACAGTATTCACCTTCGTAATTGCACAATGGTAAACACTTCATCCTCTTTTTCATGTAGGAATGTATCTAAACCTGCTCAGAGGCTGATGTACAGACCAGATCTCCAACAAATATTAGCAAAAAATACTGCATTACCATAAACCATGTACTACAATGCACGGAAAATCAGAGACCTGTATAGCAGGATTATGTGAGAATTAAAAATATATATATCCCAAACCTCAGTATTCACCTACAACTGATGTGATGGCTTTGTGGATGTGTCATCAGTGAATTTCAGTGACCGAACAAAGGAAGTGTAAGGCAATATTGAAAAATCTCAATTTTGATCACATTTTTTTCCTAAATTTCCTTTTGATAATCCAATAGATCAATAGTTTGGAATCATGAATAAATCCCAGTGTATAGTCAAGAGAGAATACTCAGTGTACATCTCCTCATCTTCAATAAATGAATTATTACGTTTTCATGCCTGCTGAGCATAGTTTGTGACAGTTTATATTTATATACGATGTACCTTCCCTACAGGATATCATGTGGTTGGTTCCATAGCAAACATCTATGCTTCTGTTATATTGTAGCATGATCAGATGTCTTTATTAAATCGATCATCTCTATATGTTCAGCAAGAACTAGTCTTGCTTCTTAACATGACATATTTAACTATGACTGGCGTGACAACCAGCAGAAGAAGGATGTGTTTTTACAGATTCAAGACTGATGGATCGACAGGTCTCCACGTGTTGCTGTTGCCGTCTGCTCATTCCATTCCAATAACTCGTCTCTGTTGAATAGATTTGTGAACCTGTGAATCACTTGGCAAAGTTCACATACTCGTTTGCCTTTTGTCTGACATCTTTTTACAAATTGATGAAATTCTAGTTTATAATGGGACTATTGTGTAAATTTTGGTCTGAAATTGCAACTGCTAAAGGAAAGCATGTGTTGCCATTATTCTAGTTTAAGGTCAGCCATTTTTGGTCAATATCTGCTGGTTGATACCTCAGTGCTTGAAGGTGATGGCAGCAATGACAATGATGCTATATCCCTAGACACGATACACACGCTAACTACAACTGAATATTAATACATGTAGGTTATTGTTGATGCTAGAAACTGCATCAGGACTTACCTTGCCCTACAACACTAGGAGTTCAGGACCCTAAGTAACTAATTTCAAGGGTCCTCACAAGAAGGCACAGGTGACACCATTAGTGGGAGGGGAAATTATATATTTCACCAACATGAGTGAAGAAATTGCTACAAAATGTTACCTGTAGACTAAAAATCATTCTGTTTCCTGTTTTGTAAAATCATGCATCGCATAGCGTGACCTCACTAGTGTGATGTGTGTCAATATAGGGCATGTAAGTCTCGGGAGGTTCCCAGCTCCGTTTGTGTGCGCTAACTTACAATATGAGAGACAGGGCTAAGCTTACTTCCAGTACAAGATATCTGGTGACAAGCATTTATTCAAGGACCAGTTCTGGTTCCAAATTTCACGACAGCCAAATATGACTTTCCTTGTCTGGACCAAGTGTACAACCATGCTCGACTCTCACAGCTGTTGGCAGTCGTTATAGTTGGCTAAGTTGGTGATGGTTAGATCGGAAATTTGTTATTCCTGCAAGGATTGTCGGTTCCTTACCATCAACTGACAATCATGAGACCATTTGAAAAAGTATGAAACATTGTTTGTCACTGGAAGTACTAGGTCTTGCGAAGTGCAGTGACCTACTTACGGGCCCTATTATGACTGAGCACTGTCCCAGGCCTGCTATTAAGTAATCAGAAAAGTTTAACTGTTTTTATTTTCCTCAGATCTTGTTTTCACACCGTGAAATTAAATATATTTCTTTACCATTTCAGGAAATGGCCTATAACAAGAACAAGACTGTTCAAGGGCATAAACTTATGAAGGAAACAAAACAGTAAGGTAGAAGACTAACAGCCAATCAGCCCAATGAAGGACGTCACATGACAAGCTGAGATTGGCGGTCATATTACAAGCAGAACAAGATGGGTGCAGTAAACAGTTGCTGCATACCTCGACGATCGTTCGAGGAATGCAGGGAAAACAAGATCAGTACACCCCGCATCAAGGGTCATCGGCGTAATTTAAACGCCACCTTTAATTTTTCATTTGGCGATGATGATAGCGGAAACAACTACGACCTTGCTTAACATTAACATAGCCACGGAGGAAGAGCTGATGACACTTCCTGGAATAAACAGATCAACAGCACAAAATATTATCGACTACAGGAGACAGATCAGCAGTTTCAAGAAAATTGAAGACCTTGCCTTAGTATCAGGCGTTGGTGCTACAAAATTGAGTCATATTCGATCTGAGATTTGTGTCAGTAGTAAACGCACTCCCAGCTTACACAGTAATTCACCCGATGGCAGTAAATCGGATTTGAACAGCAGCACAACGTCAAGCTACCGTGAGAGGAAGAAGTCAAACGGGACGTCCCCCGTCAAGGTCAACGTGAACTCAGCCAATGTCTTCCAGCTGATGAAGGTCAAGGGTCTTGGTCAGAGTCTTGCTGAAAATATTGTGATATATCGTGACAAAAAGGGTCCGTTTAAATCTATCGATGATCTAGTCAAGGTGAAGGGCATTGGTCCAGTATACTGAGTGCAATACAGCATAGTTTGACATTAGATGACATCGATGCTGCAAAGAAACCAAGTGTGTACACAAATGGAGGGTTGCCAAATCATAGCAATAATGATAGTCATTGTGAAGGTACTGACATCGGAAGGAATAGTTCCAGAGCTTCCATGGAAAATTTGGTGGATATACTCGGTCCACTTTCCAAAAAACCCTTTCGGGCGGAAGTAGCACCGTTTAATTTCAAGTGGAAAAACAGACGAGTGTTTCGTATTGCCAGTTGGAATCTTGAACAGTTTTCTGAGGAAAAAAGCCAGAATCCAGGAGTGCAGGAAGTGGTGGCCATGACCTTGCTGGAAAATGGGTTTGTATTTTGATGATTTTTACACTCATTACAATAGATATCTCATTATACATATACATAGGCAATAAAGTGAAGATACTGTTAGAATTGTCTTCAGCATCCTATGTTTGTATGAGGCGACTAATGGGATTGGGTGGTCAGACTCACAAACTTGGTTGATGCATGCCAGTTGTGCAGATCGATGTTCATGCTGTTGATCACCGGATTGTCTGGTCCAGACTCGATTATTTATGATTGCTATCATTTAGAGAGAGTGGTATTAAACAACATAGGAGAAAGTTGATATGTTTATGTGTGGATCATCCACAAGTAGGAAATGTTTTCAGTCCAAGACAAGGAAAGACATTATTCAAAACTAACTTTAAAAATATTTATCGACAAAACAAATCGAAAGGGAGCCCTGAACAATCCTTGATTTCTGAGTTGAGGCAATGTAGACTTGCCAAATCAATCTAGACTTCAGGAGGGCCCTTCTTTGATATATTCTCTAGGATTTGGGAGACACACATAGCAACTATTAGCCACTGGTAAAAATTCTACCCAGAGACTTTTAACCATTTTTGAAAACATTTCAATCATATAGCATGAAAGGAACCATGAGAGTCACTCCATTTGTGAGAGTAGGGTAAATGCAATAGGGTAACACAGGGCTAATACCAATGCGTGGGTACACACCACACCTAGACATTAACACAGCTTCACCTCTATAGTGTGTATTATAAAGGGTAGGTCACAGTCATGGTGTACACGTACAACAAGTGGGCTAAGGTTTTCCATTGAATGGTGGACCTCAGCATGTTCTGTCATTGACACATTGGATCTCACCTTTGGATCCTGACTGACTGAGTTTGGTTTTACGCAGCTTTTAGCAATATTCCAGCAACATCATCAAGTGGGGACACCAGAAATGGGCTTCACACATTGTGCCCATGTGGGGATTCAACCTCGGTCTTCGGCGTGGACGAAGCCATCAACCACACTAGGCTACCCCATGCTTTGATTCGGTGTATTAGGTTTGATATTTATACAGCTTATACTTTGATATGCTACTTATACCAACTGCAGGTCGACAGATCGAAGGTTTAATGCATACATACCTTAATTATCTAAGGTTGGGGATGTCTATTCATCACTCCAGAGAATAAAAGAAAAAACGAATCCACGGTGATATTATTATTATTCTTATTATTATTGCCTCAGACTGAAATTTGTCACTCTCTTGGTCTAAAATTTCACATGTGTACAGTTTGCACAAACTCCTGTTTGTCTGGAGCAAATCAAAAGTTTGGTATCATACAAATATGTAATTCTTGACTGAGGGTTGGATAGTCTCTCTCCCAGACCCTGGGGAATAAATCAAATAAAAATGACTTGAGTCTAATTTGGGTCAGCCTGAAATTAAGCATCATTCTGGTCTCAATCTTGATAAACAGATAACTTTATTCCTAACTAAATGTTTGACTTGGGGAGAACTTTATTCCTAACTAAATGTTTCCCCTGCCGTGATATTGATGGAATATTGCTCAAAGCGGCATAAAACTAAACACTCACTCACTCATGCCTATAAGGTCCCCCAAATTTGCATTTGGCGCTCCTCTGGACCCTTAGTTTCACAGGGCAAGGTAAAACCTGTTACATTCACCGTCCTGTTGTGGTTGAGTTTCTTGCCAGGAAGTGATTCTTGTAAATCATAAAGTTGGATGCTTATCAATGATCATTTGATCACAGGAAGTCCTGGTTGGTTAAACGTTCAAGAAATGTTTTTGAGTGTACGGCATAATTTAATACTCTTCAGTGTTACTATGACAATAAGCAAACAGGCCCTGCCAGATAGTGCGATGTTCTCCAGATTCATTATCATCAGATAGGCATGTACTCTTCATGTTATAAAGTTAAAAAAGTCGTGAGGACTCCATCAACTCAGGAAGTGCTGTGTCGCTATGACCTTTAATATAGTACACTTAATAAATGGACTTGTCAGAGGAGTGTAGCCTGTAGCTTGCTCCAGTGTTTACAGTTTCCGTGTCTGCGTGATTCACATAAACAATAAATCATTAAATAACATGCACTTTTATGAAGCTCTTTTAAACTACCAATTATTTTATTTATACATGCAGGGTCATTCTGACATAGTATCTCGTGTATATAATGATCAGCAGCTTCTGGTTCTGATGTAACAAAATATGTTGTAAACACATTTATGAGTGAATTTATCAAATTTTTATGGATAGGAGAGAATAGCTGAGAGGATTATTTGAGCCAGTACTCGTACATATCCTTTAGTCACCTAGACTAACACTAAGTCTCTGAATATATATAATTTTGATAGTAACAAACAAACCCATTTAAATTGAAAAGGAGCCCCAATGAGTTGGGAGATTCTGAACCTGAGGAAATCTAGACTTGCTTCATTTAGGGCTTTAGCATTTCATGGAGGGCTAGGCAGTAGGGAAAATAATGTGGTTCAGGACTGTGAGACGGAATCTAGACTTGCTTCATTTAGGGCTTTAGCACTGCAAGGAGGGCTAGGCAGTAGGGAAAATAATGTGGTTCAGGGACTGTGAGACAGAATCTAGACTTGCTTCATTTAGGGCTTTAGCACTACAGGGAAGGCTAGGCAGTAGGGAAAATAATGTGGTTCAGGGACTGTGAGACAGAATCTAGACTTGCTTCATTTAGGGCTTTAGCACTACAGGGAGGGCTAGGCAGTAGGGAAAATAATGTGGTTCAGGGACTGTGAGACAGAATCTAGACTTGCTTCATTTAGGGCTTTAGCACTGCAAGGAGAGGAGCTAGGCAGTAGGGAAAATAATGTGGTTCAGGGATGTGAGACAGAATCTAGACTTGCTTCATTTAGGGCTTTAGCACTACAGGGAAGGCTAGGCAGTAGGGAAAATAATGTGGTTCAGGGAAAATAATGTGGTTCAGGGATGTGAGACAGAATCTATACTTGCTTCATTTAGGGCTTTAGCATTGCAGGGAGGGCTCGGCATTAGGGAAAATAATGTGGTTCAGGGATGTGAGACAGAATCTAGACTTGCTTCATTTAGGGCTTTAGCATTGCAGGGAGGGCTAGGCAGTAGGGAAAATAATGTGGTTCAGGGACTGTGCGACGGAATCTAGACTTGCTTCATTTAGGGCTTTAGCATTGCAGAGAGGGCTAGGCAGAAGGGAAAATAATGTGGTTTAGGGACTGTGAGACAGAATCTAGACTTGCTTCATTTAGGGCTTTAGCATTGCAGGGAGGGCTAGGCAGTAGGGAAAATAATGTGGTTTAGGGACTGTGAGACAGAATCTAGACTTGCTTCATTTAGGGCTTTAGCATTGCAGAGAGGGCTAGGCAGAAGGGAAAATAATGTGGTTCAGGGACTGTGAGACAGAATCTAGACTTGCTTCATTTAGGGCTTTAGCATTGCAGGGAGGGCTAGGCAGTAGGGAAAATAATGTGGTTTAGGGACTGTGAGACAGAATCTAGACTTGCTTCATTTAGGGCTTTAGCATTGCAGGAAGGCTAGGCAGTAGGGAAAAATAATGTGGTTTAGGGACTGTGAGACAGAATCTAGACTTGCTTCATTTAGGGCTTTAGCATTGCAGAGAGGGCTAGGCAGTAGGGAAAATAATGTGGTTTAGGGACTGTGAGACAGAATCTAGACTTGTTGCTTCATTTAGGGCTTTAGCACATTGCAGGGAGGCTAGGCAGTAGGGAAAATAATGTGGTTCAGGGATGTGTGAGACAGAATCTAGACTTGCTTCATTTAGGGCTTTAGCATTGCAGGGAGGGCTAGGCAGTAGGGAAAATAATGTGGTTCAGGGACTGTGAGACAGAATCTAGACTTGCTTCATTTAGGGCTTTAGCATTGCAGGGAGGGCTAGGCAGTAGGGAAAATAATGTGGTTCAGGGACTGTGAGACAGAATCTAGACTTGCTTCATTTAGGGCTTTAGCATTGCAGGGAGGGCTAGGCAGTAGGGAAAATAATGTGGTTAAGGGACTGTGAGACAGAATCTAGACTTGCTTCATTTAGGGCTTTAGCACTGCAGGGAGGGCTAGGCAGTAGGGAAAATAATGTGGTTAAGGGACTGTGAGACAGAATCTAGACTTGCTTCATTTAGGGCTTTAGCATTGCAGGGAGGGCTAGGCAGTAGGGAAAATAATGTGGTTCAGGGACTGTGAGACAGAATCTAGACTTGCTTCATTTAGGGCTTTAGCATTGCAGGGAGGGCTAGGCAGTAGGGAAAATAATGTGGTTCCAGGACTGTGAGACAGAATCTAGACTTGCTTCATTTAGGGCTTTAGCATTGCAGGGAGGGCTAGGCAGTAGGGAAAATAATGTGGTTCAGGGACTGTGAGACAGAATCTAGACTTGCTTCATTTAGGGCTTTAGCATTGCAGGGAGGGCTAGGCAGAAGGGAAAATAATGTGGTTCAGGGACTGTGAGACAGAATCTAGACTTGCTTCATTTAGGGCTTTAGCATTGCAGGGAGGGCTAGGCAGAAGGGAAAATAATGTGGTTCCAGGACTGTGAGACAGAATCTAGACTTGCTTCATTTAGGGCTTTAGCATTACAGGGAAGGCTAGGCAGTAGGGAAAATAATGTGGTTTAGGGACTGTGAGACAGAATCTAGACTTGCTTCATTTAGGGCTTTAGCATTGCAGGGAGGGCTAGGCAGTAGGGAAAATAATGTGGTTTAGGGACTGTGAGACAGAATCTAGACTTGCTTCATTTAGGGCTTTAGCATTGCAGGAGGGGCTAGGCAGTAGGGAAAATAATGTGGTTTAGGGACTGTGAGACAGAATCTAGACTTGCTTCATTTAGGGCTTTAGCACTACAGGGAAGGCTAGGCAGTAGGGAAAATAATGTGGTTCAGGGACTGTGAGACAGAATCTAGACTTGCTTCATTTAGGGCTTTAGCATTGCAGGGAGGGCTAGGCAGAAGGGAAAATAATGTGGTTCAGGGACTGTGAGACAGAATCTAGACTTGCTTCATTTAGGGCTTTAGCATTGCAGGGAGGGCTAGGCAGTAGGGAAAATAATGTGGTTTAGGGACTGTGAGACAGAATCTAGACTTGCTTCATTTAGGGCTTTAGCACTGCAGGGAGGGCTAGGCAGTAGGGAAAATAATGTGGTTCGGGGACTGTGAGACAGAATCTAGACTTGCTTCATTTAGGGCTTTAGCATTGCAGGTAGGGCTAGGCAGAAGGGAAAATAATGTGGTTCAGGGACTGTGAGACAGAATCTAGACTTGCTTCATTTAGGGCTTTAGCATTGCAGGGAGGGCTAGGCAGTAGGGAAAATAATGTGGTTTAGGGACTGTGAGACAGAATCTAGACTTGCTTCATTTAGGGCTTTAGCACTACAGGGAAGGCTAGGCAGTAGGGAAAATAATGTGGTTCAGGGACTGTGAGACAGAATCTAGACTTGCTTCATTTAGGGCTTTAGCATTGCAGGTAGGGCTAGGCAGTAGGGAAAATAATGTGGTTCAGGGACTGTGAGACAGAATCTAGACTTGCTTCATTTAGGGCTTTAGCATTGCAGGGAGAGGGCTAGGCAGTAGGGAAAATAATGTGGTTCAGGGACTGTGAGACGGAATCTAGACTTGCTTCATTAAGGGCTTTAACATTGCAGAGAGGTCTAGGCAGTAGGGAAAATATTGTGGTTTAGGGACTGTGAGACAGAATCTAGACTTGCTTCATTTAGGGCTTTAGCATTGCAGAGAGGGCTAGGCTGTAGGGAAACTAATGTGGTTTAGGGACTGTGAGACAGACTAGTAGCCTCAGACACCATGAATGAAGGACAGCCTGTACATTTTGGGTATGTTCTTCTCAGGTTGTGGGGGAGGTGAAATTGGGGTAAAAGTTACTTTGGGTTTGAGATTTTTGGACTTAAATATCAGCGAGGAACGGTCAGGGGACGATGGGGAGGTGTTTGTCCGTACTAGTGCTGGTTTTGTAGTGCTAGCCTACTGAAATACCATGCTGCACTAAGACTTATGGATATTCCGCTGTGATATGGTATACTGACTCCAAGCAAAACAGTCCTTGTCCCCAGGGTGACAACAAGTATATCATTTTAACATGGGGCGGTGGGGTAGCCTTGTGGTTAAAATGTTTCCTTGTCATGCTGAAGACCCAGGTTCGATTCCCCACATGGGTACAATGTGTGAAGCTCATGTCTGGTGTCCCCTGCAGTGATATTGCTGTAATATTGCTAAAAGCGGTGTAAAACTAAACATTTTAACATTTTTTGGTATAGTGTGGCTGGGGATCAAACCACCGACCTTCTGCACTCAAGGCAGACACTCTATCCACTAGACCAAGGAAGTGATGCAGGCTATTCTGATCTTAACATGGCAAAGGCCAGACCTTTTTGAATGTTATTGTTTGCTAGTTTTGCTAAATATATAAAAATTTAGCTTGGGTTGGTCGAAATAGAAATAAAGTTGTGAGGATTGTTTACATATTTGATTTGGCTTGAAGTTGTTTGGATTGTCGGTTTGGAGGGGAAAATTAAGTTTTTGTTCTGTTTAAAGTATTCTTTTTGTAAAACTAACTCAATTTTACTTGTATAAATCATTACTGGAAATATTTTGATATTTTTCTTATCACTGAAAGATTGACCAAACATGCAAATAATTATACATTTGAAAAAATTGTTTTTGTTTTATTATTCTCATGGTCAGATTCTTCAAATCCAAAGAATCACATATAGAACTTGTCGAACTGAGAAACTTTATGATAGACATGGTAATATGCAATATTAATCTACACATGCTGAATGACGTGGGCAGATCAGTATTCAAGTGTCAACAACACAGGTTGCTGGATTTTATTCAAAATATTCATTTTTGTGACATATTTATAAATTCAAAAACAGGGCGGATGCACCCCCTTCTCTTTCTCTCCCCCTTCCACCTAACCCTTGGACTTCATGATTTATGTGCGCATGCACGCACAATGAAATGAATCTTGAACAAGACATTAGTTTTTATTTCTATTTACCTGTTGTTTGGTATTTGGATATTCTGTTAGACAAAAATTGAATTTGGCTGTGATATGAAAGTAATAAGCAAAGTATCTCACTAGGTGCCCTTTCATCATGTTGATAATAAATATCTGATAAGGTTGTGAATTGGCGATTCCGGTACCCATATTGCAGTACATATTGTGATATATTGGGAACTTACGTGTTTGATAGTGAGTGACACTAATTGTGCATGTCGATCCTATTTTGTACATTATGAGTCCCTAAACATGTATGTTATGGTTCTGATAACAGCAATCTAAAACTTAGGCCGCATAGTCAGGGATTCTATTTTCTTTTTTATACAATTTATTGTATTTCAGTATGCTGTTTTAGCATTGAATAATGAAGAAAAACATTTGTTGTAAATGAACCATAAAAATGATCACAAAACCTTCATGTATGTTCTTTACCCAATATACAGGTTCTCAGAAAAATTATTGTAATATGTGAGGTGAGGTGAGGTGAAATTGGGTTCTACAGAATATTTCCTTCATGTATTGTGGTTTTATAGTGCTTGAGATACCATACCACAGTGTAAGCATGAATACCCCACTCAGACACATTATCTCGAAAGCCAACCAGTCCTTGTTGAAAATGCCGATTAGGCAGGGACCAACAAGTACCATATTTTAACGCATGACGCGGTCGATCGAACCGGCGACCTTCCGCCTCTCGGCGGCGGAAAACACCATGGATCTATTGCAATGTATATTGTGATATACTGGTATACCAGTAATACCGTACAGTCTTTGACTCACTGATAACATACTAAAACTGTTAGGTAGTTTTAAACTTGTATTGTCAAGTGGGGCGGTGGGGTAGTCTAGTTGTTAAAGCTTTGGCTCGTCACGCCGAAGACCCGGGTTCGAATCCCCACATGGGTACAATGAGTGAAGCCCATTTCTGGTGTCCCCGCCGTGATATTGCTGGAATATTGCTAAAAGCGCATAAAAACCAAACTCAGTCAGTCAGTCAGTATTGTCAAGTGTTTATATACTTGATACGAAAGAAAAATACAAAATAATTTTTCAACTTTTTCTGTTTATAAGGCCAGACCAATTTTATTTCATGTTTTACGGATCAGCCAGTCATATAGTAAAATTTTCCCCGCTTGAAAAATAAAATCCTAATGTTAAGATATACGGGAGTGAAACTTCGACTATGCAAGGCAGTTTGTTGGACAGTAAAACAACAGTATCTGTTCTCGGAGTCTTTAAACTGCATTATATAACAATATTTGTGTTAGAAATCAGTGCTTTGAGCACCTCAGCGAGTGTTAACTTGAAAAACAATGCCTTTGAAAAACGTATCAGGGTTTTGCGCTGACTTTAGGTTTTTGAGGACAAAAACTGTGAACAAGAAATATAATTTCTGGCCTGTTGTTTTAACCAGTTTTATCCTTCCTGCCGTTTGTAGGTTTCTTAACTGAGGACAAAAAATCCTTAAAATGGAAATATAAGTTCGTAGGGCTACAAACGTTTCGAGTATAGCTAACCAGTGTCATGAGGGTAAAAACTATAATTATAGCCACCCTTTGAGAGATAAGAGATGTCATTTGATTGTGATGTCACGGTAAGTGTTGACTACAAAGTGATATCTCCTTTGACAACAATGTACATTTGGTAACAATGTCTCAAGTTTTGTTTGATAAACAGTAACTATTATGCAGAGCAATTCAGTTGAATAGCATTTTGGGCTTCTTTCTTTTCTGTTTTGCATTTTTTCCACTCAGGTGGAACAACAGCTCAATTAAGTGTTTCAGTCATGTGGAAAAGCAGTTAAGTATTTATTGTGAACATATTGTATAGTGATGCCTAACCACTGGAGTAATATGTTACCAACCATAGCAGAAGCTTTGAGTATACCTGTTTCAATGAATTATTAAGCAGGTATTCTCTGCAACTGTGTCATGTGCAATCGACATGCAATGTGTTCTGTAGAAGCCAGCCTCGCACAGGCATCTTGTAATGAAAGATTGAAATTAACGAGTTATTGATCTACGTGATATTGGTCTGTGTCTTCATCCTGTACTGGGATGTTGTCCCATGTGTTCAGACTTTCGTAATCAGTTTTGAAAAATTGGTTCTTTTCTTGTCTTGAGAATGATATTGGATTAACTAGTTCTTCACAGAGATACAAAGAGAGGTGGTTAACCTATTTTCAGGTGATGAATGCAGCTTCATTTCTTGAGATTAAAGTAAATTTTCTGCTTGACATTTTCAAAAGATCAGAGGAAGACGTATTAAGGCTGACTCATCGGAAAACTCTGTTTCCTAGCAGTAATCTAATGCTGAATCAGGGTTTTACACAGACTTTTAAAAATGGGAGTCATGGTTACTCACAATATTTATTTTTGGGAGTCATTTTCAATATTTGGGAGTCATGAAAATTTTAATATTTCTGTGTGTTTATCATTCTCAGTATGTAACTGTCTATGTCACACCACCAAATGAAACTACAGCATTGTTCAGTTCAAACAGCCAGGATTACTGTCTCCTCTGAGTTCTCTGGAACAATCTGACAGCTCTGTAAAAGTCAAACTACCATCGAACAAAATCAATTTTTGCTTATCAAATCGATTTTATTGAACTGAATTGTCAGGGCCACCCATAAAACTTGCGTCAAGCTTGACTCGTATGATAGTATTTTGAGAGTCGTTTACAAAATTGTTGCGTCAAGTACGGAGGAATCACGTGTCATGTAAAACCCTGTTGAATATTGCCCTTAATCATTTATTGTGACTATTCAAGGATAAATTCAAACTGTAATTTGGAATCCCAGTAAACTAGCGTAAGTTGAAGTCTTAATAACATTGCTAATACCTCAGTAGTAAGACTGGTGCGTAAGATTTGGTGAGTTTAGTTTTACGACCTCTTTACTTCAGCAATATTCCAGCACACATTGTACCCATGTGGGGAATCGAACCCGGCTATTCAGTGTGATGAGCAACCACTAGGTCACCCCACTGACTCTCACCCCTAAGAAATACCTGTAACTGTGAACTATAACTATATTTTGTGTGCAACTAGTTGTGGAAGTGGCTGAGGTGGCAGGAGGATTGGGTGGTCAGAGGGATCCAGTATTGAAAAATGGGGTTTCTTGGTTAGAACTGATCCCCGGCAAAATGCTTGTTGTACACAAGGCAACTTAAGGGATCAGTTGGCGATGCTTCTTCACCTGGTTGTTTGCATGTCACTGTATTCTCGTAATATCTGTTACTATGTTGTCTAGTGTCCCCCACCGTGAATATTGCAAACGGGCGGTGGGGTAGTCTAGTGGTTAAAGCGTTGTCTCGTCACGCCGAAGACCCGGGTTCGAATCCCCACATGGGTACAATGAGTGAAGCCCATTTCTGGTGTCCCCCGCCGTGATATTGCTGGAATATTGCTAAAAGCGGTGTAAAACCAAACTCAGTCAGTCAGTGAGAATATTGCTAACAGCGATGTAAAACCTTACTCACTCACTGTTATATTGTCTTTCGTGTTTATCATGTTTATAGTTGAGTATGTAACAAGTCAACAATAGAATCATGAACAAAAGTATACAAACAATAATTATAAAGCCTCTAACCCACATTTGAAAATATATTCATTGCTCACTGATGTGTTTCACAACCTTTGTGATAGTCACTGAATACAGCTGCCATACAGCTGGAATATTGCTGAGTGCAGCGTTAAACAACAAACAAACAAAACACTGATTAAAACAAACAAACAAAACACTGAATACAGTATAAATCTGTGTCATTGTGTTTACTAAACATTATACGGTGGGGTAGCCTAGTGGGTAAAGCGTTTGTTCGTCATGCGGAAGACCTTGGTTCGATTCCCCACATGGGTACAATGGTGTCCCCTGCAGTGATATTGCTGGAATATTTTTGAGAGCGGCTTAAAACTATACTCAGTCAGTCTGTATAGGGATCAGTTTGTCAGTACACATACATATGGGTGATAAACAACCAGGGTTTGAAAGTAGTCTTGGGTTTAGTCATAGCTTTAAACATTTAGTGGGTCCCTAGATTCAAATCCTATAGAAGCAAATCTCATGGACCATGTTGATCCAGCTGACAAGTCCGTAGCATGGCCAAGTAAATCTTGAAGCTTTTAGCCAGATGACATTGCTGGGTTCAGTACTGAAACTATATATACAGCGGGTGATTAATACCATCTGTGGTAGGGAGCTGGCTGGTGCATACATAAAGCACATGACACTATAGTGTATGACATACTCAGAGCTGCTGGTGTTGTGGCTGGTGTACGCTTCTGGTAAATAATGCATTCATACGTGTGGATCATGATGATGCTCAACCCTGTAATAATCTGGATCATTACACTCTACCTGTAATACCTCTGGATCATAACACTCTACCCTGTAATCATCTAGATCATTACACTCTACCTAAAATACACCGAGATCAGAACACTCTACCCTGTAGTAATCTGGATCATTACACTCTACCCTGTAATAATCTGGATCATAACTCTCTAACTTTTAATACCTCTGGATCATAACACTCTACCCTGTAATAATCTGGATCATAACTCTCTACCCTGTAATGCCTCCGGATCATAACTCTCTACCCTGTAACACCTCTGGATCATAACACTCTACCCTGCAACACCTCTCGATCATAACTCTCTACCCTGTAATAATCTGGATCATAACACTCTACCCTGTAATAATCTGGATCATAACACTCTACCCTGTAACACATCTGGATCATAACACTCTACCCTCTAACACCTCTGGATCATAACACTCTACCCTGTAATAATCTGGATCATAACACTCTACCCTGTAATTATGTCTGTTGCATATATCTGGCAACTGCGTTTGTTTTGGGGCTTTTTGTGATGTTTGTATGTGTGGTCATGGGGAAAAACTTGCACAAGCCTACCCTAACAGTCACGAGCTTTTAAAGTAATATTCCAAGATTATATTAGATGTCAGAGCAAGTTACCTCTATAAAAGACTGGCCTATTCAGAACTGTCTGCCTAGCCAGACTCTGACCTTCTGTGAGGATAGAATTACTATAGAATTACTATGCACACATTGGCTTATTCAGTGTAGGCTGAGTTTTGTTGACCATGTGATTACATGAAGTATCAACACTGTAGCTGGATTGTACATATGTAGACAGTGTCCTGTATTTATTCCCTGTGTTTATGAAACACCTTGATAAACACATGAGATAACACATTGTGATATCACTGTTTTCATACCAGTTTTCATATCAGTAGGTCGGTTATCGTATTATCATGGTGATAAGTTCAAGTGTTTCCCTAAGTTGGTCAACTAGTTGCTGAGAGTGCCTGTCACAATAACCTGCTGATTATAGCGTGAAGTGGGATGTTGTCTATATGCTACTTGTTCACTTTTTATCAGGGCAGATCCAATGTATGGAGCATGTGCATATCATATCCAGACATGTTGAGCAAGGTCGCTGTGACCCTACAGTACATGCACAGCACTCTGTCTTCAGGATTGTGGGGGTGGTTGTGTAGCCTCGCAGTTAAAGCGTTTAACGTCAAGCCGAAGACCTGGGTTCAAGTCCCCACATGGGTACAATGTGTGAAGCCCATTTCTGGTGTCCCCGCCATGATATTGCTGGAATATTGCACAAGTGGTGTAAAACTAAACTCACTCACTCACTTCAGGATTGTGCATGTGGAATGTCCTGTCTGTGTTAGCATGATTCTACACCCACCCTGCAGTCTTTGTTTTTGTTTTGTTTGTTGTTTAATGTCACACTCAGCAATATTCCAGCTGTATGGCGGCGGTCTGTAAATAATCGAGTCTGGATCAGACAATCCAGTGATCAACAGCATAAGCATCAGTCTACACAATTAGGATACGATATGTGTCAACCAAGTCAGTGAACCTGACACCCGATCCTGTTAGTCGCCTCTTAAGACAAAAAGCATCATCAGGTTTGCTGAGACCAATTCTAACCCAGATCTTCATGGGTACCTAGACTAACAAGACTAAGTCTCTGAAATGAACATATTTTACAGAAAAAAAAGCTCATAGTAAAAAAAATATATATATAATGAAAAAGAGCCCTGAGACGTAAAGCTGTGGAAATACAGTCTTACCACAGTTTCTAGACTTGCGTGGGCTTCCTTGGATATATTTTCTTCAGGGTATGTGTGACAGACTAACGGGTACCTTGCAGTGTATTTGGTGCAGATATTCTTGATTCAGTACAACCTTCTTGTGTGTTAGTGTTTGGGAAATCATAAGCAGCCATGTTCTGAAAAGCTTCCTGTAATAGGTTAATACCATTATAGTTATAACTTGAATTCTGTTTAGTAACTGATCCCTACATGTTGCAACTGACACAAATTGTTTAATGTCATTAAAACAGAAATCACATTTATATAGCCATAACAATACACATTATCAAGATAGGACACATATCTCAAAATAGAGATACATTAGATGTCTTGTGAACTCGACTCTTGTCATGTTATGAGACATTTCTATCATCACCTGAAATGAATAGAAGCATGAGTTTATGTGTGAGACATTTCTATCATCAACTGAAATGAATAGAAGCATGAGTTTATGTGTGAGACATTTCTATCATCAACTGAAATGAATAGAAGCATGAGTTTATGTGTGAGACATTTCTATCATCAACTGAAATGAATAGAAGCATGAGTTTATGTGTGAGACATTTCTATCATCCACTGAAATGAATAGAAAGATGAGTTTATGTGTGAGACATTTCTATCATCAACTGAAATGAATAGAAGCATGAGTTTATGTGTGAGACATTTCTATCATCCACTGAAATGAATAGAAAGATGAGTTTATGTGTGAGACATTTCTATCATCCACTGAAATGAATAGAAAGATGAGTTTATGTGTGAGACATTTCTATCATCCACTGAAATGAATAGAAGCATGAGTTTATGAATATTTACATGTCATCCTTTTATATACTTTCAAAAGACGTTAAAGAAAATATTAACTTGTAAAATGAAAGAATGTGATTCTCTTGAACATCTTTTGAATGTACATATCTATGTTGTTTGATATGAATACATATTGTTATATATGATTCCCATGGCACAGTTTTGTAAAAAACTAAAATCTTGTGAATTGTTGCACCAGTAATAACTAATTTTGAAATTTTTAAGACTAGGTACTAGTGTTGGGAATTGGTTAAAATCTCATAATTGATGATTGGTATATTTCAACCGATCAATCATCGAAAAAAATTGGTTAGCGTCATTAATGAAATTTGTTAATGCACATAAAAATGAAGAAAAAACATGGAGTTCTTTGGGGTTTTTTTGGCAAAATTTCACATCTTTAAAGGATGACTAGTATGTCAGGAACATAGATTTCTTGAAGTCTTTAAGATAAATTCAATCATGACTTGAAACGAGCTTGTAGTGCTTATGAAATGTAACTGACAAAACCAACCTTGTGAAAAATATTGTTTATGAAAACAAGTGTTCCAGAATTGTTTGTGTTCGATTATGAGAAAACATGATCGATTGCTTGGTCGTTTAGTCACTGCGACCAATCTTCGATTATTTCAATTAATCGGACCTGGTCCACCACTAGGTACATCCATGCAGTCTTTGTAGCAATGCGCCACAGTCTGTACAGGTGAAGCATATGTATACATGAATACATTGTCATTATTACAATCAAAATGCATGTGAAATGTGAAATGAAAACCTTTTTTTTATTTAACAGGTTTGGTATAGTTGCACTCCAGGAATTAGCCAGTGAAAACGCCTTAGAAAGAGTGAGTATATTTATGTACTACCTTGTTGAGATGTGTTACATTTGATGTACTGAGTATATATATAAAGATTTATTGTCAATATACCATGTAGATTACAGCACATGTTCATATTGTGTACTGGTGTTAGCTGAGTCAGCACATTTGTGTACTGGTGTTAGCTGAGTCAGCACATTTGTGTACTGGTGTTAGCTGAGTCAGCACATTTGTGTACTGATGTTAGCAGAGTCAGCACATTTTGTGTACTGATGTTAGCAGACTCAGCACATTTTGTGTGCTGATGTCAGCAGACTCAGCACATTTTGTGAACTGGTGTTAGCAGACTCAGCACATTTTGTGTACTGATGTTAGCAGACTCAGCACATTTTGTGTACTGATGTTAGCAGTATTTTGAGACTTTACATATTCACTGATGTTAGCAGTCTCAACAAGTACTGTTTATGCTGTAGATCTGTGATGAACTCAACACTCCCACATCAGCTAACAACAAGAAGTGGGTGGGTCACCGTGGCAACTGGAGATGTTCTGTCTCAGAAGCCACTGGAAGGATGTTCAGGGTGAGTGCAGAGTACTCTCTAAACTGCTTGACACAATAAACACTCTCTCTGTCCAGGTTTTATTTGTTCCGCTAATTGAACAGAGATTTCTCTCATGTATGACTTGAGAGACTGATTTTGACATGCTAGAAAATTCATCTTTTTAAAATTACCAGGCTTTAATCTTACGAAATGCAAAGGAAAGTTATTGATCTCTGTAATCACATATGAACTTTTTGAGGTATTCCTGAAGTAGTTACAGTTGTTAGATGATGTCTACACTTCTTTGACTAAACACAACTATTACATGTAATAGAGAGCATGTGAAATATTCATTTACCTCACCAACAAACAAACAAACAAACATTTTGTAAGCAACACAGGCAGTTGAATTTTGACACAAGACTCCTTTTGTTTCGCATGAGAAAAGCTTCTGTCTAATCAAATCAAATCAAATCTTCCTATTTGAGTATGATGTGTGTTTCAGAGTATGGAATACAATGCGTTTTTGTACGACGCATCACAGAATATTGAGCTAATTAGCTGCTCGCTGTTGAAGAAACCGGCATCAGGGACATTTCCCTTTGTGAGGCGGCCGTTCTTGGGGGTGTTCAAGGTGGGTATTGATTAGTGACGGTATCGACAACAAGATCGCAACACTTAATCGCTTGAAAGATCCTAGGATTGTGTTGGTGTGCGGGCAACAGAATAGGCCGATGATTAGTCTCTTATAATAATTTATTATGAGTGAGTGAGTGAGTATAGTTGTACACCACATTTAGCAATATTCCACCAATGTCACAGCGGGGGACACCAGAAATGGGCCCGACACATTGTACCCATGTGTGGCATCAACATTGGTCTTCGGTGTGAGACGAGCGAACGCTTTAACCACTAGGCTGCCCCCACTGCCCCTTATTATGATGAATTTTAGTTCCTAATTTTGATGAAAACAAGCAAACAGATTGGGGAAATTCAGATCCTATTGAAAATGTAGACTTGCTTCAGGTTTAAGGCACCGCAGTAAGGGCTGGTTGGAACATATATAATATAGACAGAGCAAAAAGGACCATGGGCACTCACTCACTCACTCACTCACACTAAAAAGAAAATGTGTTGAGACAGAATTCCCATTAGGATAACACTACTGCTCAGAGAACATTTTCTCAACAAGAGCTCAGGGATTCCAGCACTGATCCTGCAAATACCGGTACACACTGACAAGGTCTATCCAAAATAGATTTTAATTGAAAAAGGAAAAACTTGCTTATTTATCCATAAATTGCTGGTTTTTGTGTGGGTACATTTGACTGTTTACGTTCTGCACAGTCTTCTATACACTGCATGTCAGTGCTGCTCTGTATGTGTAATCAGTTGTAACCAGGGTCTGTTTGCTATGTGAATTGGGCCTGCAATGTAAATCTAATGCAGGATAGGATGTGTACAATATGGTGGAATTAAACAGAGCTAGATCAGCTCAAACTATTAATTCTGTTAAAATGGTATAATGCAGAGGTATGAATGTTGACAAGTGAAGTTTCGAAAGGTTTAGTGAAGTTGGAAGGTAATTAACCTATTTATAGCTGTAACGATCAATGGCAGCTCATAATAGCCTCCTTTGACATTTTTTTCTCCCAGTCCAAGAATTTATTTTCCTCCATCATGAGTCATTGTCAATAGTGCTCATTTCTGTGTTTAAAAATACTGTCACGACAAGGCAGCATTTAAACAGCAATAAAGCATTTACATTAGAGTATATAACATACTATGTGTAGCATCGTTACAACAACATATAGTATATACAGCGGCATTACATGAATATAAACAGCAACATTACAGCAACATAAAGAATATATAGAGCAGCATTACAACAACATGTATATGAACAGCAACATATAGTATATATACAGCAGCATCACACTGTATATATAGGATCATTACAGCAACATATAGAATATGTACTGCAGCATTACAAACATATAGATATATGCATCATACTGCAGCATTGTATATATATATACAATCATTACAGCAACATATAGAATATGTACAGCAGCATTACAGCAACATATTGTATATATACAGCAGCATCACACTGTATATATAGGATCATTACAGCAACATATAGAATATGTACTGCAGCATTACAGCAACATATTGTATATATACAACAGCATCACACTGTATATATACCGATCATTACAGCAACATATAGAATATGTACTGCAGCATTACAGCAACATATTGTATATATACAGCAGCATCACACTGTATATATAGGATCATTACAGCAACATATATATATACAGAATATGTACTGCAGCATTATAGAATATGTAACAACATATTGTATATATACAGCAGCATTACAGTATATATAGGATATTACAGCAACATATAGAATATACTATTACAGCAACATATTGTATATACAGCAGCATAACACTGTATATATAGGATCATTACAGCAACATATAGAATATGTACTGCAGCATTACAGCAACATATTGTATATATACAACAGCATCACACTGTATATATAGGATCATTACAGCAACATATAGAATATGTACTGCAGCATTACAGCAACATATTGTATATATACAACAGCATCACACTGTATATATAGGATCATTACAGCAACATATAGAATATGTACTGCAGCATTACAGCAACATATTGTATATATACAACAGCATCACACTGTATATATATATTACAGCAACATATAGAATATGTACTGCAGCATTACAGCAACATATAGAATATGTCCCACAGCAATATGACATAGTATATGCAGTGCAGCATCACACCATATGTATAGCAACATATAGAATTTGTGCAGCAACATATTGCATATAAGTGGGTGAGTTTAGTTTCACGCCGCACTCAGTAATATTCCAGCTATATGGCGACAGTCTGTATATAACTGAATCTGGACCAGACAATCCAGTGATCAACAGCATGAGCATCAATCTACACAATTGGGATACGATGGCTACATATTGACATCTACATACAAGCAGCAACATCGTGACATAACACCAGCTGGGTGGCACCTTCAGTGTCCCCCTGCATGAATCGTGAGGGTGTTGATGATATCATGGTGCAGGCTATTGTCAGAAGTAGTTATACATGTATATCTGTGTCAGACCATTTGAAGTGAACATGACAAGTAGCTGAGCGTTATGTTGCCAATAAACACTGTCACTAATGACAAGCAGTGGGAAATGTTCACGTAGATAGTGCAGACCGATACAGTTAATTGTCATGAATGTATCGAGTGTGCAGACAGGTGGCGGAAATAGCTGTCAATAATGCAATGGCTGCTCCGAGATCAATACGTAGCTGTGGTATGCCAGCATGTAGCAAGTGCATCATTGTGAGGCCTTTTATTTCTTATTAGTTGGGCTAATATTTGATGTGGATAGGTGTCCGAGAGAGAATATGACAATAATGATAATTAAATTTATTATTAAATAAATTGTAATAAATATTGGGGGACACACACACACACCCCAAAACCCCCACAACTTTTTTATTAGTATTGCTGATGAAAAACAAGCTTGTAGGTCATGCAATCATGGAAATATGATTGTGAAAAGCTACTGAAAGATAACTGATAAATCGTTTAGTTAGGATGAAGTTTACTTTGTTTTATTCACCATTTTCCTACAAACAGCAGTGATAAAATCTCATAGGTTTTCACCCAAGTCAGATCGAAGAGTTGTGCTTGTTAACCTATTTGATAAAAAATATAAAGACCAAAGATTCCATATTGCATGTATAGGCAGAATTCCAGCTGTATGGCCTATACAGAATAAAGAAGTTGTATATCCATAAAAATAGTCCTCATCCTTCATCTACCCAACTTCTAGAATGCCAATCAAGCCTATACAGAATAAAGACGTTGTATATCCATAAAAATAGTCCTCATCCTTCATCTACCCAACTTCTAGAATGCCAGTCAAAGAAGAAATTATCGTGGTATGCTGTAGTTGCAAAACCACACCCATGCAGACCACACAAACAGACTTCTTGTCTGTGGTGTGATGTATAGGTCCGAAGATACTGGAAAGTGATCAGGAAAAAACTAATGGGCCTCCCTGAATTAATGTCTGAACAGAAGTTCGTGATCTCAGACATAAGGAAATTGTGCTGTGTGATGTCAGTTATGATGTAAATGTCTGATGGAAAAACAAAATATTTGCTGTGTTGTGTCACCAGGGTATAAATGTCTGATCTCAGATAAACAAGAAGCGTCACTATGTGGTGTCAGTAATCGTTTCAATGTCTGATCTCTAATAAACAAGAGGTTTGACTGTGTGGTGGTCAGTGTTTAAATGTCTCTCCTCAGATAAACAAGAAGTTCAACTGTGTGGTGGTCAGTGTTTAAATGTCTGTCCTCAGATAAACAAGAAGTTCGACTGTGTGGTGGTCAGTGTCCATCTGAAGGCAGCAGGACTGCAGGATGAAACGCTGAACAAGACAAAGGATGAAGTCCGCCAAATCCCAGCCCTCATTTCCGCCATAGAGCACCAGCTTCCAGGTGAGACCTCTGACACTAGTCACAGCATTTGGATATCGGTGTACTGGCAAGGTTTGCCTGGTTCAACTGAAGCCTTCCAGGAATGAAACTTTACTAACATATAGTGGACTGTGTCAGGGTCAGTCGTCTGTCTCAGACAGAAACATGTACAGTCAATGAGAATGGTTGTATAAATCATAGCAGATTAAACAATGAGGCTTCCACGCCTGTCCTTTGTCTACTCTCTGGCTTCATCAGCTTTCTGCCTAGCCAATCATGTTAATTATGTTGTTTTCTTTGTTACATTGTTACATCCAGTATATATACACTTCCCCTTCTTCATGTTCCATTATGCTTGACAACGGTACAAGAATCTGTATCGAAACGTCGACACTCACGAATAAAAAGAAGTTGTTATCCATAAAGTTTGTTCTATATTGTACTTCCCAACTTCTAAAATGCCACTCAAAGAAGTTAAACAGTGAGGATCTAGTCCACTTGTTTTATACATGTATTTATATATTATTTAACGTATTTGCTTCCAAAATAATATGTGCATTGTAACATACAAACTTATACACTTCACACCTTTAAAACTAGTCGACTTTCCTTATGATTGGTTCAGGATGGAAGGGAACAAGCAGGATGTAATGATTTCATCAGTGATGTTTCAATGATTTTAGAGCAGCTTCATTCAATATTATGCCTCACTTTGTTTTGAAAGACTAAAATAATCTTATTGATCTTTGTCAACATGCCAAGTAGCTGGGGTTTATTTAAAGTTGTATTCCTAAACTCAATTTGGGAAATATATTTCAGAAATGTAGTGAAAACAGTAGGGAAGTAAAACCGTACTTGTTGATCATTCATTGTGTATGTATGAAGGAAAGTATTCAAAAGAAGTTATAGAAAACTCATTTCTTTCGTATTACTATAGTTACCCTGTCATAGTGTGATAGGCTAGCTGTATTACAATGATAGAATCAGGTGTTCTTTACCTGTTGAGTAGCATATGTGGACTTACCTGTAAAACAGGATCTCAATTGGTCCCGCCTATTTCAACCTGTGATATGTTTACCTGTAAGCTCATCAATTTAATCATATGTTTTATTTATTGCAGGAGAAAACGACATTATCATTGTAGGAGATTTCAACCTGTCCCCAGATTCTGATGGTAAGACTGTCTGTGTGTGATATGTCAGACATGTACTCCCCAGGGAGTTGAGAATGACATTTTAGAGCAAGCTAGTTGTTGACTGGGCATCATCATCTAGCCTTACAGCATTCCACCACTAAACAGGTTTTAGTAACCTAAGTGATGAGTCACTGGATAAGGCGGTCAGGTTCACAGGTTCACTTCAGGCTGGTCGTACTCTGATAGCGTGAGCCGACCTGTGAAGATCCCGGTTAGGATTGGTCTTCAGTAACCCATGCTTGTTGTAAGAGGTGACTAACAGGATCGGGTGGTCAGGCTGGCTGACTTGGTTGACACCATTCGTCACCACTAGCCCCTTTCCGTAACCTCCAAGAAGACTCATCCCCCACCATAACTTGTTATGTGCGAAAATACGACAAACCAATCAGAACGCACGTAAATCAGCGCGGTGCTTTGATAAAAATAATCATGAGTACTTAAATCGTTTATGGCATTATGTCATTGTTTAAAAAATCATGAAAAATATATATCGCCATATTGAAAGTACAAAGAACGTAGCTAACAGGATTATGCTGCCTATTATGAAGTTTTTAATAATAATCATGCTATTGACAGTGAGAGATTCAAATACACGAACGTGCGTTTGTTGACATAACGACTCTCATGGGTCCAACTGAGCGTATTTTTGACGATCTTGCGAGCTTGTTATGGAGATTGTACGTGCGCTTCCAACAATTTTAGGAAATGTAATTATTAATCGCTACCAGTTTCAAAACAATAATATTATATATGTATGTAACTAATCAACTTTAATCTCAAACATTGGGCTTATATTTCACATCTCTGGGGATATTTTAGTCTGACTATTTTTTTTGGTCATTCATATTTGATTACACGAATGTTCAGTTTTAGAAATATATTAAAGTCATTCTTGAGTATGTGCTTTGGGATTTAATGTAGCTGAAACTATTAAACTTTTATTGGCATATTAAAAAAACAATTCCCATTTGTGATTAATTAAACCCTAATTGGAAATACAAGGTTAACAGCTGGTAATAATTACATTAGAATGTGTCTTTAAGAAATATTTGTATTTCTCCTTCTTTAAGTTGTATCAAAGAGATTTAATTCTTTAAAATAAATAAGTAAATAAACCCCCAAAACAACAACCTAGCAATACAATGTATGAGTACTTCGGTGATATTAAGTACCATTGGAATCAAACAGGAATAGAGTTATCGTTCTTGTTTAAAGTAGTTCTGATGTTCATGCGCCAATATGAAATCCTTCCAGAGGGGCACGAGTCGCTATTCGTTTTGTCCCGGAATAACACGAGTTGGTCACGATTGGGTTGACACACGTCATCATATCCCAATTGCGTAGATCGATGCTCATGCTGTTGACAATAGGATTGTCTGGTCCAGACTTGATTATTTACAGACTGTTGCCATATAGCTGGAATATTGTTGAGTGCAGCATTAAACAAAAACCAACCAACAACAGCATGAGCCACAGTCCATAGTGTCAATCATTTGGTTGGCTTTGCCCATAGTCACCACCAAGGGTATACTGGTCCAGAATTTGTCCCCCCTGCCTTTGCCTATTGTTAGAGCTATCTTGAGGATTAGGTGTTAACAATGGTTGACTGTGGTCATGGTAACCTGCTGGGTATCTGATAATCAACTAAAGGTCCTTGTATACTTTCTTTACTCCCCTGGGAAGATCTCAATTTCAAATTGTCTTCAGCAACCCATGCTTGTCTTAAAAGGTGACTTTGTGGATTGAAGGATCAGGTACACTGATTTGGTTGGCACATGTCCTGTATCTCAATTGTGTAGATCGATGCTCACGTTGTCAATCAACGGATAGTCTGGTCCAGATTTGATTGTGTACAGACTTTTGTCATATATCTGCAACATCGTATATTAGGATTTAGGCGCACTACAAATATGAACTTTATTATTATTATTTATCGCTGAGTGTGGCATAAAACAGCAATTTACAGGACATTGTGATGTGGCTAAGATATTGTGGAAAACTCTCCAAGATTGTGGATAGAAAATTGCATGAATGAGAGCTGAAAGCTGAGCAAAGGGGAGTTTTAGGATGTTGTAAATGTGATGTTCTAGGCTTTCTTCATCAGGAATTATGATTATACACTATTTTTGTTCTAAGACTACAAACTGCTGACCTCAAATGGCTACACCCCCTGCATTCCTGCCAACACCGCCACCAACATCAGCAACCGTAACCCCAACGGAACCCGTTGCTATGACAACATTTGGATCAACAGACACACCAAAGACGTGTATACAGGTAAATGAAATCCACTTTTGGTTACATAATGGCTTCAAGAACAAAGTTCTGTTTTCATCACTAATGCCATCACATCATGTTTATCATGGCAAGAGTCAGACTCACTGATGTGGTTGACACGTGTCATCAGTTCCCAATTGCACAGATCAATGTTCATGCTGTTGATCATTGGATTGTCTGGTCCAGACTCGATTATTTACAGACTTCCACCATGTAGCTGGAATATTGCTGAGTGCGGCATAAAACTAAACTCACTCACTCACTGTCATGGCAAGACCTAGGAACGGTTTCTTGCAGAACCAGTTTGTGATTTTAGTCTCAGAAGCTTTAGTCTGATAAAGATTCCTTTCAGTTTTGTGAGCACAGCCTGAACCGTCTTCTGAGATGAAAGCAAGCACTGTGATTCTAATGTACACTGGCTGCACTGGACATTTACTGTCTAAATGCCACATGGTTGGTGTCCATTATTGGAGTCCCCCACAGTGATATTACTGTAATATTGCTGCATACTCACTAAGTGGATCAGTTGTCAGACTCAGTGACTTCATTAATGGCTTGTTGCCCATTAGATCGATCTCTGTGTTGTCTCATAATATCGATCATTGGATTACTTACAGTCGTCTATCAATGGAGTACAATGTGTGTAGCCCATTTCTGGTGTCCCCCGCCATGATATTGCTGTAATATTGCTAAAAGCGGCGTAAAACCATACCCACTCACTAACAATGGAATATTGAGTTGAACAATACACACACACTCACACACACTAAATTTTCTGTCTTTCCCCAGGTCGTTCCAGTGTTGTTCGTGATGGCCTGTCCAGCCCATGGATACCAAACGGCTGGTCATGGGGTGGTGTTGTGAGTGACCACTGCCCGGTGTATGCAGAAATCTGCAGCAACAAAGATTTGGACAATGGAAGCACAAATATCGGATCGGAGGGTGTTGTCTTCACAGTTGGGGGAGGCGACTCTTGACACCAGAAAATAGTGTACTGTGAAAAAAAAGCAATTGGTGCCATCTGTTATTGAGTATTATGGATGGAGTTGAGGCAGGTTATGCACACAGCTGCAGCTTTAGGAAAAAATGCTGTCAGGCGAGACGACTCCTGTCCGAGAAATGCAAATAGAAGGTCAGAGTTGTCTCCATTAACAGTTGATTGGTCAAGGATACCGGTAATTAATGTCAAGATGAAGATATGTGCATGGTTTGATATTTGTAATAAATGACATGGGAATATTCTGAGTGAATATATTTAAAGATTTTTTAGACTACATGTCAGCCAGATAATTCACTCAAGTTCCTCAGGGATGGAGAGATGCACACCAAGAAACCAGTGAGACTGCCCCTCGGGGTTTTGGATAATATTCAGGAGGAAACAGTACCTCCCTTTGAGACCCGTTGTTCATCCGACAATACAGTCAAGGAGGAGGATTACGCTTCATCATAGGCAACACATTTTGCGAAGATTGAATAAACGACTTTGCCTTTATTCACTGCATTCATCACCATCATCTTTTTTTACTTGGATTGTAGTATTTTGAAAAAAAACCAGCCTTTCATTTTGGCAAGTCAGATCATGAAATATTTCTAACTTCCTACAGAAGGTGCATATTTGTCCTTGTCTGATAAACTAGTCAGTTTAAATATATTTATTTAAATGAGTATTGAGTCTATGCACTTACAACGAAGAGTGAACGGAGCGTCATTTTCCAGATCCACATTGAACAAAAAGATTTGTCATTTTTTTTCAAGAGATAATCTTTGTTAAGTGTCTTGATCTCCTTTATAACTACAATATATATTGGAGCCATCCATCGAACCTCCCAATTCAAGTTATCCAAACCAGATGTTACAAATGACTATAGAAATACTAAGTTTGTGACTTTTGAACTAATATCTTATTTTGTATAATTGGACATATTTTTCTTTCTCTCCCTTCAGATTGTTGGCAAAAATATTCAGATTGGGGGAGAAAAATTTCAAAACAAAAACTACCGATCTCAAATATATTTTTGTTTCTTTGAAATGTTAAGTGGGTAGGGAAAAATTATAGTTTGGAGGAATAGGGAAAGAGACAACAAAACTCTGTACGAGATTGATGCAGAGATAGATTATTTTTGTAGTTCTATTAGTTTAGGTCAATTGAATAAACATCCCACTACTTTTTATTTACAATTAAATTTTTGGGGAGTAGGTATATTCAGTAAGTCTAGCCTTGGTGGATGGAAGGTATTTTACAACCTAGTTTCCCCATTTAATTGTAAATTACATTACAAGACTGTTAGTAAACCTTTTTTCGTGGGAGATAGAGAAGTTATATGAGGTTCCCTTTGCAAAACTTACACTCAGGTGCTGGATTGATTTGCATTGGTGTCAAGATTGACAAGATTTTGTTTATCAAGTTCTTGTTTATTTCTTTGCCAATATTTTTGCATTTGTCCGTTTTTTCTGCAGGGTATTTGTTCTGAGATTACGATTTTTTTTATTTATTTATATGATCTAGGGTCTTCCATGAGCAGTTTTGCTTTTTTTTTAAAGACAAGTTTACTCAGATATTCATATAAAGTATAATGTTTTGTGAGTAAATTTGGGATCATATTCTCAAAACAAATGAAATAATATATTTTGATTGATTTCAACTGATATTTAACTGATATTCATGATATCAAGAACGGTCATCAGTGTTGGGGTGTCAGTATATATTGGTCTGTGAAGTTTGTCTCTATCCTGGCAGTGGTATTCAGTTTCCCAAGGAAGATCATATTCATTATTATATTCGTATTTATGAAGGTGAATTCTGCGGGAAAACTCTGCCGCCCGTTAATTTTTGTGATACCAAAAATGCACAGTAACAGAGCCATAAATTGGTATGGTAATGGCAGAAGATTATGTCCTTTCACGCAAATTTGAGATGGTGGTCGACACAAGTAGTCCCATCATCTGAGGCACAGCAGCTGTATTTGCAGAGTTGTGTCCCCTAACTATGACAGGATATGCTGTTTGACGTTCATATACCAGATTAATGCCATCCACGTTCATTGGTTTCGCCAGAGTTGTTAACATGGCTGGCATCATGTTTTAATTCCACTCACATTCATCCGACATGCTGTGATATGAATTAATTACTCAGTAGAATTAAACACAACTGTTTGACTGAGATTATTGCTGCTATCGCTTCCTTACAGTAGGCATGGTAGAGGTTGACAGGAAGAGAGACATCAGCCCCTGCTTGTGGGTTGTGGATTAAATCCAGTGTTTCCCCATTCTGCAGTAAAGTCTTACTGACCGTAACTCCCTTTCCTGGAGATAGACTAAGATCATCATAATTAACATGTTTTATTTAAAATGTTTTCATTTTCATGACATGTTTTAGTCACACTGAAAGTCATATCGCATCCATAAAATGTAAAATAATATAATATAACATAATATAATATAATATATTCGGAGGCCAGACATTCTCTTGTTTGCTTTGCAGATTTTGATAATGAAAAATTTGATCTGTAGGTTAAAAACAATATCATCTTAAGTTTGATTCGGATTGGAAAGGTGATTAAAAAATAAATACAGCATGACTTTCTGCTGGAAAACAGTTTGTCATATGAAAATCCCTTAGATTATTTTTATTTTCAAAGTAATTTTTGCTGTCTGTAGTATCGAAAAAAACTTTTGTTAAAGCAATTTCAGCAGGTTTGTAAAATAAACAAAAGAAAATGTATGGCTATTCTGTCTCATTTGGTTCATTTAACTGAAGAAATGTACACCACTATTTCAACTGGATGTATGAGTGTTGAGAAACACTGTGGATGTATAATGTTACCCTATCAGCTTGTTATCATAGAAACAATTATACAAGTTTTCTCGGTGAAAGATGTCTTACTCAAGTACAGTTTGTTATTTTAAGCTTTCTATGGAAATGTTGGACCTGGCACAACACAAATAGTCTTGACCATGAGAATAAAGGTAACCGATTCCATAATTGTACCCTCAATTATCCGATGTATTATATTTTATTAAATAAAGTATTCAGGATGAAACTGCTGCCATAGCTTTATTGATGTGACCAGTTCTATCCTTCGTCACCACCTCACCGCAGAATTCCTCTTGCTCATGATCTGTAAGTGACCCCTTGAGATATTTCGTCAAATAAAATGAAAGTTATGAATTATTTTTTGTGAGAAAAGTCTTACTTTCCTGTTAAGTATAAAAGCAGACCATGAAGCCCATCTTCAATGAGATTTTCTGGATTTTATATAAAACACCACATAAAAGCCAAATCAAGTCAACTGATATCGCTAACTTGTTTGAGTGGCATTTAGAAGTTGGTGTGATGAACGAGAGGAGAGTACTATGGATATACAACTTCTTTAATATAATATGAGCGACGTTTCGGTGTAGCTACTAACACCGTTATCAAGCAAATGATAATGATAATGGTGTTAGTAGCTACACCGAAACGTCGCTCATATTATATGAAAGAAGTTGTATATCCATAGAACTCTCCTCGTTGTTCAGCTGATATCGCTGTTGTTCAATCATGCAAAAAAGGGCTAATGTGATTGGTTGTCTATTTTTAGCATTTCAATCACACAAGACTCAAATCAAAGTGTAGGCGGCAGAGCGGCAGATATGTATCATTCTGAGCAGAGCTTTAATGTTCTGGATAACTGAGGGTGTCATTTTTTGGTTTGGTTTCCCTTTTTTTAAAAAGAAAATACATCACCAACTGGTCAAGCCTCTTCTTCACAGTCATACCTTTATTTGCTTGAATATTAATTTGCTGTTTAAATTTTGCTCAATGTAGATAGACATTTTACAAACACTAGCTATTATATTTAACTGTAAATATGTACAGACTATTCTTGTGAATTTTGTAAACACATAGCAATATTTTTTCACATTGTCATGCAGATATTGATTTATATAAGGAATACTGAAGGCTGTGTTAATGATAATTATGGAGATGTTCAATATAACAAGTATATTTCAGATATGTATACGCAAGGTGTTTGCGTTATCGTACACAACAGGGAAATGTTGTGATGGCCACCCAGAACCAATACAGAATCCTGATCCACAAGGCAATCGTAGAGCTACGACATTCGTAATCCTATGGTTAACTATAGAGTTACGGCAGGTCGTAAAGTTACGAACACTCTGTGGATTGGGGCGCAGGAGAACAAATTTACACCCATATTTCAAGTTTCTGTGACACAAGGGAGACAGTGAAGAATACATGTAGTTAGATGTTGTGGTACAGGACTGTTTTAGCTCTTTAATTAGACCTGCTTAGAGGCCAATGTTAACATCAAGTCTGCAGCAAATGTCATTTAAGCCTCACAGATTGGAATGATACATTTTCCAATTCATGTTAATGTGTTGACTAATATGATGGCTTGTACAGGTCACTTGTTTTTCATTGGTTTCAGAACCAATAAAGAAGTGGCTTTAATGCCCAGATCTACAATATTTCACTGAATACATTAAGATATTTCTAAAAAATTCAACTTTGAACAGAATATATAATTGTCTGCTTCTAGTCTGCCAGCCAAGGGAACTTGGCCAGAAATCCTGCATTAAACCCTTGGTTCCATAGTCTCAATGTCAGATTTAGGGATCCAAGCCCATGTTTGTTGGTCAGGGGACTCAGTTGTTATTGCTACATGGATGAAGCTTTTTCTTGATTGGGTAGCCTAGGGGTTAAAGTGTTCGCTCATCATGCTGAAGACCCGGGTTCGATTCCCCACATGGGTACAATGTGTGAAGCCCATTTCTGGTGTCCGCCGTTGTGATATTGCAGGAATATTGCTAAAAGCGGCGTAAAACTAAGTACATGCCATTATCAGGGCTGGAATATTGAGAAAGAGGATAAGCTGTCTCACTATTCACTGTTGCCCATGCTTGCTTAAAACCATACAGATGCATTAAGATAGTCTGTCTCCCAGACCCTGACAATTAGTCAAGCATGAGTCAACGTCTAGAAAGATGTGGCAACTCCAGATTGCCTCACAAGAAGAAATTCAGGATTGTTCAGGGATTCATCTGGATTAGTTTTTAAGACAAATATATTTTTTACATTTTTAAATAGTATACTAATAACTGTATTTCTTGGTCTAAATGTCAGTCTAACATCAATAACCCTAGTCTGCAACCGCTCACAACCAAGTAGTTTTGTTTATACTGCTACAATACAGCTGCCATTACAACTTGCCAGTTGTCATCAAATGATCTGATTGAAGTGTTCTTTTATTGTTTCCTTAACAAACAGGGTAAGACACTAAACTAATGACAGATAGGTCCAGATATCATGAAACTGTCACAGGCAGGCAGGTCTTTAGAAGCCAGTCTGTGTTGGATTGACTCACATATGGTCTTCCTTTTCGTAAGACATCAATGCTCGGAGTAGATTTCATTGCCAAACTAACAATGAGCCTTATTGTTATAATTGGTGTCACTGTTTTGCATGAAGTTTCTGTTACGTTTCACTGGACATGGTTTGTTTCACTGTAACACAAGGACAGGAAGTTACAGATATGGGATTTTCAGTGAATAAATACATCGGAAATATGTATCTGTTTGTTGTCATTTGACATTATTAGAGTGTTAACATTTCATCTGTAACAAGAAGACATGGTCATCAATATCTCCTGCCACAGTGTTCTGTTCCTATTTGGTTCCTGGTTTTGAACTCCATGACATTTATGTCCTGAAAGCACATACCACATTTGGTTTCCCTATCTATAACACTGGGTCACTGGTTGTCATTTACGTTAATCATGTAGTTCCATATTTCCAGAATTGTGTGTTTATATCCACATGGTTTAACTAAAAACACTGCGTAGCCAACAGAAACAGTACCACAGACATATGTATACCTGATATCAGAATATTTGCTGACTCCAAACCGGAGACAGTATTAAACAATTTCTCAAAGCAATTTCACTAATGAATGTATTCATTCATCTGATCTGTTTAATGCCAGCTATATGACGGTCTGTAAATACGTGTGTATGGACCAGACATTCCAGAAATGGACATCATAAGCATTTATCTACATAACTGGAATATGATGACGTGTCAACTAAGTCAGCAAGCCAGACTGCCCATGCAGCCCAATTCTGTTAGTTGCCTCTAAATAAGTATGGGTTGCTGAAGATCAATTCTATCCTGGATCTTCACGATTAGGACAAGAAGTAGCCATGAAACATAAATAAAAGAAGTTTTTTTCTGTAAAATATGTCATTGTAATTCAAAATTTATAAAAAGTAGAACTGCTGAAGTTTAGTGGGTGAGCTTATGGTGAAAATACACAGAAATTAAGAGACCCTGGTAGCATTATAACATGTATGACCATACTGTGATTTAAGTTGTACAGCATGGAATTGAAATTTAAAGGTCACATGCAACGAAAACAAAAACACAACTTTGCAGATTCTGATACCTTCGCATGGACTTACCAAACAAAGCGCCAAAATGCAAATTCAACTTATAAAGTTGAAAATAACGCCGATGAAAAAAACGCTAAAATCGAGTTCAAACGTTTCACTAATTTTCCCCAGACTTTTCTGGGGAATACGGGTTTCAACAGCTGGGCTGCCATAGCACGCAGCGCAGTGAAATAGGTTCACGAACTTGGAAGCGGGCTGTCTGGTGAATACCGTGAAGGCTTTGGTGTGAGCTATTTTCATAATGTTTTGTTGATATCTCACAGGCCGAAGCTTTTATATGTTATGACAGTAAATAAACTGTTTATATAATTTCATTTGTCTATTTCACCACACGCTCTTCTTACCGAGTCACTTTCTCAGTTCGATACTTAAAAGCAATGTCATTATTTAGCTGACACAATTTCTAACTGTGATATAGATATGTCGCTGTCACAGACAAAACTCAATGTCTTGTTTTATTGACACCTGTGTGTCTGCCTGCCTGTCTGCTAATGACAATATTCAATACACAACTGCGATCACTGACCACATGCAATTTGAACTTAACACCAATCAGGCTATACACCATAAACAAAACGCATTGATTTATGGCCCGAAGTTCGGTCTCTGTCACATTATGTAATTACACAGACAGGCAGGTGTGATACTTGAACACATGACATGTTATGATGTCTGTTGATTGCAAAATGTTATACACAAAAATGAGCATGTATTTACAAAACCCAACATCTCTATATATACACACACAATGAGCCGCGGAAGGCGGCATCTGCTAATGAACCAGCCGTTACACTTGAGTGCACACCCACCCGCTTCTGACTGGGTTCGTATCCCGCTGCTTCGCTTCGAGGGAGGTAAACCCAAGTACAAAATATTGCACTTTTGATTTGCGACTATATGCTTATAATTTTGTTTATTTGTTTTTTCATAATCAGCAATGCATATTATATGTCATGAAGAAGTGATAATTGTGTTTTAATTATGTTTGATTTTTGGTTGCATGTGACCTTTAAACTCAATTCACAGCCAATCACTCCTTTATTGCTGGCTACAGAATTCATTAAACATAATAAAAATAATATCTATGCATTCATATTGCGCAAGGCTTCAGTGAAAAAATGCACAGATGCACTTCAATGGATTAGGTGAGTAACAGTGCCTTGGTCTTTATATATATTTTCTACCAGAATGAAATCATCTGTTCAAAAACAATGTGGTACAGACTAAATTCAGCTGACATTTTACTTGTGGAGTGAGTATGGTTTTACATTGCTTTTAGCAATATTCCAGCAATATCACAGAAGGGGACACCAGAAATGGGCTTCACACATTGTATCCATGTGGGGAATCGAACTAGGGTCTTCAGTGTGACGAGTGAACACTTTAACCACTAGGCTACCCCTCTGCCCATTTTCTTGTTGACATTTGCATTTGTTGTTAGTGTATGATTAACCCTTCAAGGTCTAGAAAATGGTAAATGACAGAGCAGAATGAATTCCTTGACAGGCTGGGGGACTGGAAGATGATTCACAGAAGTTGTTACCCTTGATCCCATTGTTCTTCGAAGTTTAAAACAGGCTAATTCTTGAAGCGAATATGGGATGGACATAATGTCCGACACAAGTTTGAATTGCTCGGATGTTCGGTTTATTTCTATTTTGTGCATCTCGCTCACCGGCCAGTATCCAACCTTTATGAAGAGCTGCATAATAGCAATGTCAGTCTTTTTCAGAGCAATGAAAAATGCAGTTTCGCCAATATCATTAACAGAATCTAGCGGAATGCATAGCTCAACAATTAAATATCTAACAACTCTATAGTAACCCTCGTTGACAGCCAAATGTAAGGCAGTGTCTCCATCTTGATCACACGCCTCAACATCAGCACCTTGAGAGGACAGGAGTCTCATCATTGACACCTTGCCGAAACGGCTTGCTGACAGAAATGGCGTTCCTCCTCGACTTGAGAGATTAACGTCTGCTCCTGCCTGTATCAGTTCACATGCTATGTTTACACTTCCTGTCCGTGCAGCCGTCCCAAGAGGTGAACGGCCAAAATTATCCCTCAAATTAACGTCTGCACCATAGCTCAAGAAAAATTTACAAAGGTCAGGTTTGTAGTGAACAACGGCTAAAATAAGCGGTGGCATCCGGCCACGATTATTAACATCGGCTCCTGCCTCAAGAAGATATTTGACAACATCGAACCAGTCATTAAGCGTAGCTAGATACAATGGCGTATGACCTTTACTGTCCACACTCATAATGTCTGCATTGTGATCTTCTACCAATGACTGTACAACCGTAAGGTGACCCTCTATGGCAGCATAATGAATCGGTTGTCGGTCTGGGTGGGGCATGAAGCCCAAAGAGAGGAGAGTGTTTAAAACATCAGCATGTCCAGCAATTGCTGCCACAGACACTGGCACTGATGAAGGAGGTAGATTTTTAAAGCAATTCGGATTTATATTGTTCATCCTGATGTGGTGCAAAACATCTTGAGCACTGCCTTTCTCAATCATTGAATTCAGTACACGCAGGTCACTCATTATTTATGAATCTTTCTCATAAATTCATACAAAATTCAAATCCAAACAGATACAGTCGACACTGACGACAGTTGAGATGGATGACCCGGACAGAAGACTGGTTTATTTGCACTAGTTATCCACGGTGTAGGATGTCATTGTCCGTGCATTTTACTTGGTCTACTTGATAAAACGTGGGTCACAGTCTGTCGTATACATATTACTGCCTTATCCATTTCGCGTTTGCCACTTGCACATGATGTTGTTTGGTCTCAAAGACGCTGGGTATAAAATCTCGAATGAGCAACCGTAACATATATAAGGGAGGTAACTCTAAAGTAGGGTCTCTCTTTCCACTTTTACAATATTTTCAATCTAATCTGTAGCTTCGCAGTTCGATCCCAAATGAGGTCATATGGTTTTTTCGTTTTAGGGTTTTGTTTCTTTCGCTTTGCAAAATTATCGATTATAGTTGGCGTAATGTATCATTATTACGCAAGTGATGTATAATAATAGATGGTTTTTTTTCCATAAGCATGCAATTTAGTATGTCAGCATTACAGTAAGTACTCTATGTAGATCCTAATATGGTCAGCATTGCAGAAAAATGTCAGTGGTAAAAAATAGGTCTATGCCATGTGTGCCGAGAGTAAACTCATAGACATGCTTGTGGATGCCCTTTGGATTTTAATTGTGCTAACAAAATGAACAAGAAGAAGAATTGTCATCAAACAGAAATTAGTGTGGTTGTCCCATTTACAGGGGCGAATGCATCTTTATCAATTGCTTCATAAAATCATTATTAGATATTTTTAAGTTTGCAGAAATGTATTTTCATGGTGCTATTATGATACTTACTGTGAAATTGGTTACTCATTTAAATCTTGCTAAGATATCATAAGTAGGTGGGTATCATGTTAATCAATGGATTGTCTGGTCCATAATCAATTACATAATCATCATATAGGTGTAATATTGAGTGTGGTATTAAACATCAAATACTGGCATGATCACATAGATTATGAAGAGGTTCACTAGTTCAAGAGAGTTTAGAAACAAATGTTCAAAGCATATATTTCATAAGGATTTACACATCTACATTGATGATGACGTTGAAAAGAAATGTTCAAAGCATATACATGTATTTCATAAGGATTTTTACACACCTACATTGAAGAAGACGTTGATGAGTCTGTTCACTCATCAGGTCATGTGCAATGTGTGATGATGTAAATGATGCAGATAATAATGGTAATTCAAGTATCTAGGCCCCAGGCTTATTAAGAGAAATTACCCCTCTGGTAATCAAATGATATAACCATAATTAAGGAAAGGGCTTAAATTAGGGAACTGCACATATTGAATGGATCTGGTGTGATTTTTCTCGACATTGTCAAAATTTATATAATAAATTGATCAGCCGTGATTTCACACAACAAATCTGTTAGTTCTGGCTCCCAACAGACAAAAGCTGCAGGTATTTCAAGATCACCTCAAACAAGAGGTGGGATAGCCTAGTGGTTAAAGTGTTCGCTCATCACGCCGAAGACCTGGGTTCGATTACCATGTGGGTACAATGTGTGAAGCCCATTTCTGGTGTTCCCCGCCGTGATATTACTGGAATACTGCTAAAAGCAGCATAAATCTGAACTCACTCACTCAAACAAGAGGTGAGGGATGTGGACAACTTTCATAAGCTTGAACGACAAGAGATGAAAAAATGACAAGAAGATGTTTAATTACAATGTTTTCCAATTAATGAAAAACAAATGAGAGTCATATGCATTTAAGTGGTCTATTTGCATGTCAAGTATCCAACCGATCTCTGGCATCTAGTGTGTTCTGTACACATGGAATCCCATTGTTATGTGAACGTTGTACTGATGTTCAAGCTGTTACCTAGGGACTTCACTCCTAACAATAAAATTGAAGATCTAAAGTTTGACCCATGGGCCTAAAAACAGGAAATATTCTCATTTTAAATCCATGGGCTAAATACTTGAAATCTCTGTATGAGGAAATCATTCTCTTTGATTCCCCTAGACTGATGTGTCAAGTTTCACACGTCTGGGAGGATGATTACGATGGTACTTACCATTTCTGGTGTCCCCGCTGTGACCATTCTCAGTCTTTTGGCTGATTTTCTTCAATGCTCAGTAAATGTACTTTCAAGTGTGTAAAGGTGTTTATGTCTTCAATGTCTGTTATGCGTTAAACTATTGTGAAAGACCAAGGTATGGGTCAATTTCCTCCACTTCAAAACTTGTACATCTATATGTCATTCATTCACATGCCAGGCAATGCTTGCCATAAGCTGCTTCACAGCTTCACAAAACCAAGATCCCTGACTTTATTTGTTGGGGGGAGGAGATAGGGGTGGCACTCCTCTGATTTCTAAAGTTGTACATGTACTTAGCACCATACCCATGCTTGCAGAATTCATAAAAATCTTATGAAAATAATCCTGCATGGTGCACATCTTTAATACCCTCTAACATTAAGCTATTAAATAACAGTGAAATAATGGAGATACACATATAAACAAAACAAACCAAAATTGACATACACACCTTGTTTACAATGCCTGATAAGATGAGAAGTGCTCTGTTCTGGATCATACGGTAAAACAATGCAAGAAAGGTTAATGAATTACTGTCAAATGCTGTCAGAACAAGATGATCTCATTTTTTCAAATAAATACCCTCAAACACATGGCAAAGGACAGCAGTTTCTTCTTTTATTAGACAGATACTGTTATCTACAAAATTCTCAAATATAAAAATACATAATGGAAATCTACTCTGTCATTATAGAAAAGTTAGGTTTTGCCCTGAACTAAAACACTGAAGAACTCAGGAGCACGCATCATTGTGCTTTAACAATAACAATTCAGGGCTAAACTATATTTTATTACCCTACAAATAGGGATACAGCAAACTTTATTTCTTAATTATGATGCAAATCCTGTGTCTAGCATTGGACAACTTCCTCAATAGATGAAGACAATATCCCAATGGTCAGTCTCAGTATAATTCTGTAATAATACACTAATTGTTACTTCTAGACTAGTCTTAGAAATGCCAGAGGCTTATTGTGAACTGTATTCAGTTAGTCCTCCTTTGTAGCTGGTCCTGTTTGAACAAGACAGAAACGTTCACTATCATGACTATGTTTACCCTTTCTGTCAGGTTTATTCAGTTCCATTTTCCAGCAAAACTGAAGCACTGAGACCTGGTTCAGACCACAGACCTCAAATGCTGTCATCAAGGACTACAATCATTGGACTTTTCCTTGTCCTCAGCACTAGTAAGAAGTCTCAGACCAGTATCAATTTTGAAGACAATGGATTTAAACTGGAAATGGACAAGTCTTAAAGATATCATCCCTCATTCACCCGATAAAGCATATCCAAGTACAATATTCTCATTGTTGAGATGATTTAATGCTACTGGTGAACATATTTCAGTTACATAATGACATGTCAAACGTAAAGTGCACAGCAATAGTTTGTGATTTCCAAATCCTTTCATGGTCTACAAGATGGAATGTGACTGAGCCGGATGAAGTTCTTGATTGCCCCTGGTACTGGCAGATGATTAACTGTAGATGTCAACTTTGGTCCTAGCATACTTCGAAGTCTGAAACAGGCCAATTCTTGAAGCAAATATGGTTTTGTCACAGCGTCTATAATAGGCATCAACATCTCTGTTGTATCAGGTGGGAAATCACACAGCATATTTGATGGCCATCTCCCAGCTTTGTGAAACAGAAGCAAAATGTCATAATCTGTATTGTCTAGCGCAATGGAGAAAGGGGATTCACAATCCGAGTTAATTGTACATACAACGCACAGATCAACAAGGAGATATCTCACGATTTCATAATGACCTTCCCGAACAGCCAGATGTAACGCTGTGTCTCTTTTCTTATCAATCGCATTGACATTTGCACCATGGGACTCGAGAAATTTCATCACTGACAAATGACCGAACTGACTTCCTGCCATAAATGGAGACTGTTGATCTGTACATTTTACATTTATCGATGCTCCTGCTTCCACAAGGGTGTGGGCAATGTCTACATAACCTTTTCGAGCAGCAGCACGGAGAGGTGAGCGTCCATATCTGTCTTCAATGTTCACATCAGCTCCATGCTTGATTAAGTAGTCACAGATATGGAGTTGATGGCGAACAACAGCAATGACAAGCGGTGGTATTCGACCTCCAAAGTTGACGTCTGCTCCTCTTTCAACAAGATATTTGACAATTTCCAATTGGCCTTTACGTGAGGCTAGGAACATTGGAGAGTCATTGACTTTGTCTACACACATCACGTCTGTGTTGTGATCTTCCACCAAAGATGTCACCACAGCCAGTTGACCTTGTTCTGATCCATAATGAATTGGGTGTCGGTCTGGGTGTGGAGTAAATCCAAGGGAGAGAAGCGTATTTAGTATGTTCACACGTCCCAGAACGGCTGCCCATGAAATTGTAGCCATCACTGATGACAGATCGACAGCGAGTTCTGGTGTGATGTTATTTGTCCGAATATGATCTAAAATGTCTTCTTCATTACCATTATCGACCAGCTTATTCAACATAACCAACTCATCAGAAATCGACATTTTGTTTTAGCGAATGTGTAGTTATTACATACGTGGAAACGCCGTGAGATCATGTGTCCGGTCCCATTGTGAATTTGGTCATTGATTTTGTTTTCACAACATGGATGTCCCCAATCAGTCGAGGACTAGGAGTCTGAGTCGGAGATACATACTGACAAAACAATTCAAAAACACTGCACGCGTTAGCTTCTGAATTTGTCATCTGTCACCTCGTAGATTGAACCATGCTTCACTTCATTATCGAATATATGTTTAGGGTAGCCGGCTGATTTACCTGTCCACAAACCATCACATTCCCTCAGGACATGACGTTAGTGAACGAAAACAAACTTTAAGGGGAGGTAACTCTAAATATTCTGTGACACCTCCCTCAATACGTGCCAACTGTAATCTGAACATGTTCGAAACCATCGTCGGACTATTGTAACGCTGATATGTTTTGATTAGCTTACAGTCCTTTTTCTTGGTTTTGAAATAAAATATAGAGAGGCTTAGAGAAGATGAAAACAAATATGAAATGTAAAAGTCTCACGACTGAACTGGACTCAGCTAAAGAATAATCACAAAAACGGAAGACATTCAATCCAAGTTAAAAATAGAAAATGAAAAACGTAACGAGATTCAATCGGTTAAAACTGAAGGTATAATGCTTCGATCAAAAGCTAAATCGAATGAAAAGGGAGAGAAACCTACAAAGTATTTCTGATCACGATAGAAACATAACTTCCTGAATAAGGCTATACTAATTTACTAAAGTCAGAGAATGCTAAAGGCGAAACTCTCACAAAAACCAATGATTTATTTAAGGAACAAAACATTTTTATGAAAAGCTGTATACTAAACAAGAACCAGATAACATAGATAAATTGTTTGAAAATCAAGATATACCCAAACTAAAAGAAAAAACAAAATGATCTACTGGAGGGGGAATTGACGTACGATGAAGTGTTAAATGCTTTGAAAAACATATGAAAAATGCTGCAAGCCCTGGCCCTTCTAGTTTCACAGCAGGATTAATTACATGTTTCCCCAAACCAAGGTACATCTAAAGAATATTTAAAAAACTGGAGACCAATAACTCTGTTAAATGTTTCATATAAAATTGCGAAAACAGCGATAGCAAATAGAATTAAACCAATACTACACGTTATTATCAATGAAGGTCAAAAAGGCTTCGTTCCAAATAGATATATTTGGGAATGTACACGTCTCATCATCCTCGATAATCGAGGATGACGTCTCATATACAGCATCATGGACTACACAGATTGCAAGGAAATACAAGGAATCTTTATAGAACAAACTTTATTGATAACAACTTCTTTATTGTGGTAGAATGGGACTTTATTTCGAAAGTAATGGATTTTTTAATTTTTGAAACTCATTCAAACATTGAATACATACATTCTATAAAGACATAAAATCAAGCGTATTAGTAAATGGTTTTATAACTGACTATTTTAGTCTGACTAGAGGCTGAAGACAGGGTGATCCTTTATCCCTTATATTTTTCTGTTATGTGCAGAAATACTAGCAAACATGCTGAGGATTAAGACCAAAATAACATGAATAACCATTGGAAATACGGAATTTCTTGTATCTCCATTTGCAGATGACACAACACTGATATTAGAGGGTACAGGAAAATTGCCTTAAGAACACGCTGCAAATCCTATGACACTATGCATCATTTTCCAGTTTAAAAATTGACACGATCAAAACGCAAGTAGTGAAAATAGGATCCCTGAAAAATTCTAAAGAAATCTTGTACGAAAATGTAACTTGAATTGGAATGAAACTGAAATTGCTACCCTTGGCATCATCTTCACATATAATTTGGCAGAAATGGTGGGAAGAAACTACAAAGATAAATTGAAAGAAGTATGACTGTCGATGTAGAAATGGCCAGCAAGAGGCCATACACCTATAGGTAGAAATGCTGTGTTGAAAAGTCTTATACTACCTAAACTGAATCATTTATTCTCATCTCTCCCAATCCAAATAAAACCTTTATAAAAGAATTAAATTCAGTATTCTTTAAATTTATTTGGCAAAATAAACCAGATAAGATAAGTAGAAAAACACTTAGAAAAGAAAATCAATGGAAAATTTGTGACTGAGAGTACCAAACACAGAACATACAATCAAATCTCAAAAGAGTACATGTACATGGATTAAGAGAGGTTGTTCAAAAACGATTCAAAACTTAAAAACATAATTTTATAATAATAGTAATACAATCGATATGAATTTTGTATGAAAATGTGAACAATATATCAAGGAAACTGTACTGCCGAAGCGAACCAATGACTTTTGGAAAGATGTTTTACTCTCAGGGGGAAATTACATCAATAGTAAAAGACAAAACATCAAGGATGAAGATGATATTCTCACACAACCACTCGGGAACAATGACAATTTACGTATCGGCAACAAGCCAATATGCTATAGACACTATGAAAAGGCAGGAATAAATACTATAAACAATTTGGTAGACGACAAAGGAAACATACTAACATTTGAACAGTTTGAAAATGTGTATAACTGCAAAACAAACATTTTAGAATATGCCGGAATTTCAAAAATGATTAAAAAATATTGTATCGTAAGAAATATCAAACTACACAAAAAATCCTCCATGCCTTTTATTCCTTACCTTTAAGAAGATCCAGTAAACCCAAGCAGAGGATGCAGAATATTTTATAATACACTACAGGCAACTGCAACTCAAAATAATAACAACAAATACAGAAATAAATGGGATTTAGAAGTAAACGAATGTGTACCTGATAATGATTGAAGATATGTCCATGAAATACCTTTCAGGGAGCTTGTTAATGTAAACATCAATGGTTTCGAACCTTTCAGGGAGATTGTTAATGTAAACATCAATGGTTTCGATACAGTATTATCCACAGGTGTTTATCAACTAACGAAACGCTATCAAAAATGAAATTGATTGAAACTAATGCTTGTACTCTCTGTAAAACAAGTGTTGAAACCATAATACACATATTCTGTGAATGTGATATTGTCAAAGAGATTTGGAATAATGTTATGGGGTGGATTTAACATAAAACTGGCACTCTTCTTCACTTTGATAAGAAAAAGGTATTATTTGGATACCCTGAGAAAGGAAATGATGTGCTTAATCGCATCATAATTATCACAAAATACAAATATTTTCAAATCAAGATTTCAAATAGACATCCTAACATTTCACATATTAAAAAAGATGTCGAAATTTCATATAATTTAGATAATTACAACTCGAAGATAAATTTAGAGTAAAATCATTTCTAGACTTAGTCTTCATGCCATATGCTTTACAGATGAAGATGCTATCTATTTAGTTTATTTCATATTCTCTGTACATCTGGAAGATCATTATCAAAATTACAGGAAATGCCAGGAAATAGTGGACTATTCACTGTATGTTGACTTTGTACCAAAAAAATTGAACAAAAATTGAAATGTTATTCTTAGAAACAAAACAGAGGTAAATGTTCATGCACTTATGCTAACCAGTAATACAAAATCCAAGAATTATACAATATATTCAGACCAGAATCTGTTGATTGTTTGGTAAACAGGAAATCGTCTAGTCCTATTACAGGGAAGAAAGATAGGCCACAATGCGATCAAAGTACTGAATCCTTCTATTGACGTGAGGAACATTTCATGGCTGCGTCAATCACAGGATCGTCTGGTCCAGACTAGAGATTTATAGACCGTTGCCATGTAGCAGGAACATTGCTTAGTGCCGCTTTTAAAACAAACATAAAAATACTGATTCCTCTATTACAGTGGGTTTGATCACACTGCGATGTTTGGAGTCCCTCTAATTGAGTCAGGTAGTGGGTGAGTTAGTGAGTTTAGTTTTACGCCGCACTCAGCAATATTCCAGCTATATGGCGGCGGTCTGTAAATAATCGAGTCTGGACCAGACAATCCAGTGATCAACAGCATAAGCATAGATCTGCGAAATTGGGAACGGATGTCATGTGTCAGCGAGCCTGACCACCCGATCCCGTTAGTCGGAAGCATGGGTTACTGAAGACCAAATCTAAACCGGATATTCACGGATAAAGTCAGGTAGGCAACAAAACGATGTATCAAGTTCCTCTATTTTTGTCAGGTGGGCAGCAAGGAGATGTACTGAGTCAATCTGTTTAAGTACAGGAGGTAACACGCAATTTACTGAGTTTCTCTATATAAGTCATGATGGTAACAAATAAGGCGGTGTATCGAATCCCTCTACATAATTAAATCAAATAATTAAATCAGGTAGGCAACAAGGCGATATACTGAGTCCGTCAATTTAAGTCGAGTAGGCCACCTGACAAAACGTCCATTCCTAGCAACAGTTTCACCATAGCCTACTGACAGTGCGCCAGTTTAATTTATCATATATTCTTTACTATGACACGCGGATAAATTGCCATGGTAACAATGCGAATTTTTCCAGGGATATTGTTCATTACTAACGTGGACACATCGTATATATTATAAACTAACCCGGTCCTGAACAGGTATTTAGGGCTGCATGCATCTCACGTCCACCACGTATGTATATGGGTATGACAGTCCATGCACGTCCCCAGCACTGCGCCAGTTGTTGTTCAGAAACCAGAAGGGTGAGTTTTAAAGCAAATTGTTTCTAGAACTGCACATTCTATGTTATTTTCCATAGTCAATAATATATTTAAGTTTTCCCCAACTAGATGGCAAAGTAGACCCGAGGTATGTCGTGATAATTATGGCGTCGATGTATCTAGTGGTTATTTTGGAATCCGTCTCATCTGTAAACCAGCAGAAAGACTTAGTTTCCTCGGTGTATATATATTATAAATGTGTTGGGTTTTAATGCAGCTTAAAATGAAAGGTGGATAGGGCGGGGGAGCGATGAGAGAAGGGATCTATATGTATATGTTACAATGTATAATACCGCTGACTGTCATTAGTAACTAACACGGGTTTGGGTGAGTTGGGTTTTACGCCCCTTTTAACAATATTCCAGCAATATCACGGCGAGGGTCACCAGATATTGGTTCACACATTGTACCCAAGTGGGGTTCGAACCCAGGTCTTAGCGAGCAAATGCTTTAACCACAAGGCTACCAGAAAGCCCCTACCCGAGTATGGTGTCCACGAGCACCAGCCGCATGTTTCAGCTACATCAGCGACGATGAATTCTTAACATTGATCGTAGCCAATGGGTTAAGAATGGGCTTAAGAAGTTCGTAGGCCTACGAATAGCTAGCCTGTTTGGTACACACATGTACATGTAGTGCCAATGAGCGTCATCTATACGCCTGGAAAATGTTAAGCACCCCCAAATTTGCTGACCGCTAACAGAACTATGTTCAAGTTCAGTTAGTGTACAGGAAACCAAAGTACTGTAGGTCCCCATGATCCCCAGTAAGCTGGTCTGGCTTTGATGACTGGTGGTATATAGCTCGTATTTTATTGGTGTTACATGTAATATTGACCTTTGTGTTGAATAAAGTCTTTTATCCATTGAAATGGTTAGTGTTTAAATTCAAATTGTGATAACTTGCTAATGTTGTACTGTCCCTTGCGACAGTTATTTCTGATAATTAAACCAAATGTTTCTCGTCACTATATGGCCGAAAAATTGCCGCTGTGACGTAAAATTTTAACTCACTCACTCACTCAGTTTGTGTATGATGATACGTATAATAACAATGTTCATTTATGCAATCATTGCACGTGTACTTCGTGGAAATTGCCTCCCAAATTCCTGTCCAGAAGCAAACTCACGAATTTTCACAAGTGCCAGATGTCGGTATTTAATCTGCATGGGTTACAATGTTGGATCGTTTTTCTGCCACTATTGTAAGGAGTAGATTATCAGATGGCCAGAGATGCCAGTTCGGTATGTCCGTTAGAGCAACTGCTCGGGAAATTGATGTCCACTACACAGTTGTCAGATAGGCACTATTGAGACTCACTTGACCACAACCATTCGCTACAAGCACTGTTATGAAGCACCACTGGTTACCATTTCGTCTCGCCAAAAGAGAGCCGGATACAACTCAGAAAGGATCATCATACGTCCTCTACTGACCGATCATCACCAACAAACACGTTTGGCTTGGTGTTTATCAAGATAACGCTGGAATCCGAGGACTTGGCGAAGGCTACATTGGTAATACTATGATGCAAGTCGATGGACTCGTGAGAGTTTGGAAGCAGCGAAATACTGCATTTGTAGGGGGAAAAAACATTTAACCAAATGTTGCCTTTGTTGGAAGTTCAGTCATGGTTTGGGGATGTGTCTCTCATCAGTGTAAACTTGACTTGGTGACAATACGTGGGGAACTGACGGGCGTGACCCATTAATAATCCTCTTGCTAAGAGACCTGTATTTATGGATGACAACGCTAGGCCACATCGTTTTTTGTGCAGTGACAGTTTTCATTCAGAATGATCCAGTGACTCACCTTCCAGTCTGGACCTGAAACCCCTGGAGCACATTTGTGACTTTATCGGGCGATGGTTCCAAGCACGTGTACCACCTGTTTAAAATGTGCGTGAGTTGGAAGCAGCTTTGCACCAAGAATGGCAACAGTTTCCTCTGCAACGGATACGACGACTGACGGGGTTACAAGTAGTTATCCAAGCACGTGGAGAGTACGCTAGATGTTGAATATACAACGTTCCCAGGTTACAAATAACGGTTTTTTGTCTCATCACATACACGCCATGTTGCCTGATCCTCTCTCTAGCTTCATAATTGTGAATGTGACAGGTATCATTTTGAGCCAAAACGAATTATTTGACACTTATGTCATATCAACTATTTAAAAGTTGCAGGAGTTTTTGTGTTTTCTTGTACTCAAGACGTGATCTTACAGAAAAAAACATTCAGATTTACCAACGTACTGTACGTGTACACCACTGATATCAGCAGAAACATACAACTTTGTAAATATTACAGGGGCTTCTTACCATTTTCCAGGTATATATATATACACAGTACAACCAGAAATTATTGAGAATTTAAAGATAGTAATTTTTTATATTTTTTTCACACATTACTCACGTATTAAATGTGAATATTAGCAGAACATAACTCCAGGTTCAAAGACAGGTGAACAGTTAGTATTTTGTCAAGTCAGCATGGGCAGCAATGCAGGCTGCAATGCGGCGGGGCATACTACTGATCAAAGATGTTAGAAAGTCGTGGTCCATGCTGTCCCAATATCGGACCACTTATAGACACTTTCCTTGATGAGACCCCAAACATTTTCTATTGGATTTAGGTCAGGGCTATAACTTGGCCAAACTCCTTCGTTTGCTTTTAGAAACAAGAATACCAAGCCGCCTCCTGTCACCGACAGTCAATTTTCTGGGCCTACCTGCGCCTCCCTGGTGCTCAATGCCATATCCATTTGCAATATTTTTCAAAACACGATAAACAGTGGACAAAGGGATGCCTGTTCTACTTGAAATCACTTTAGCTGATCTGATGTCCTTGTTATAATACTCTAAAATCAACTTCCTCTTCTCTAAATCATCCATACTGAGGATCACTGAAAATGTCGCCTGCTAGCAAGTAAACAAAGGGGGATAACTCTTCACAAACTAATGAAAAAGGATTAACGGAGTTGTCTCTCTTGAATGAAACAAAGCACTTGATAGCTGGTCAAGGTTGTTTATACTAGAAATCCAATTAAACATATTCCTAAAATTCTCAATAATTTCTGGCCATACTATATCTTATATTGGAGTGGGGTACTTATTACCATCTATGTGGTACTCGATTATGGTGTATCTCTGTGCCATCTATATGTTACATGGAATTGTTTCCATGGAGATACTATATGTGTAACGAGGGTATATTGTTCATGTATCTTGTCGGTCTTTGCATGTTGGTTGGTTGGTTGGTTAACACCCCACCCAGCAATATTCCAGCTATGTTTCGGCGGTCTGGACCAGACAATCCAGTGATCAACAGCATGAACACCGATCTACCCAACTGGGATACGATGACGTGTGTCAACCAAGTCAGCGAGCCTGACCACCCGATCCCGTAAGTCGACAAGCATGGTTTACTGAAGACCAATTCTAACCCGGATCTTCACGGGTATCACAGGAATGATACACAGGTATAGAGTATTCTATCTGTACACAGGTACGCCATGAAGCTGGTGCGTGGTAACTGGGGGACGAAGGTGGAGTTCATCCTCACCTGTGTGGCGTATGCAGTCGGTCTGGGAAATGTCTGGAGGTTTCCATACTTGGCATTCAAGAATGGAGGAGGTGAGGCACACACTCAAAGTAAACCTCATTGTCATGTCAGCCTTCAGCGTCTAAATTGTTGACAGTCATTTCTCTCCTTGTGCCATCTCAACACACGCACGGATGGATGCACACACATACCCATTCACATACATATATGCATGCATACAAATATGCATACATGCATACATACATACTTACATACATATATACATCATACACACATACATACATACATACATACATACACACACACACACACACATACATACATACACACATGCATGCATGCATACATACATACATACACACATACACGCATACATACATACATACACACACATAAACACACATACATACACACATACATACATACACATACATACATACACACATACATACATACACACATACATACATACATACATACATACATACATACACATACATACATACATACATACATACACACACACATACACGCATACATACATACATACATACACACACATACATACATACATACATACATACATACATACATACATACATACATACATACATACATACATACATACATACATACATACATACATACATACATACATACATACATACATACACACATACATACATATTATATATAAATTATCGCCGACTCAGACCTTTACGAATGCTGATGTGGTGTAAACCTGTGTGTTTCAAGTGATCATGGTCGTTCTCCATACTGCAGGTGCGTTCCTCATCCCCTACTGGATCATGCAGGTGTTCATCGGGATGCCTCTGTTCTTCATGGAGCTGTCCTTCGGCCAGTTCGCAGGACAAGGCCCCATCACCATCTGGAAGGCCAACCCTCTACTTAAAGGTCGATATCACTTGTTTCGTCCCCTCTTCAAATGTTCACTGGAAAGTTGACGTTACAAAATACTTCTGCTGAAATACTTTAATTCCGGTATGACTGTAATTTGTGTTGCAGGTATTGGGATCAGCATGGTCATTGTCTGCACCTTCATCGTCCTTTACTTCACCGTCATCGTCGGCTACATCGCCTTCTACTTCTTCTCCTCCATGCAGTATCCCTTACCTTGGTCTCACTGCGAGCACTACTGGAGTAGTCCCAACTGTCGGGCCGATATAGCAGGTAATCCTACAGTACACCCTGGTCTCACTGCGAGCACTACTGGAGTAGTCCCAACTGTCGGGCCGATATAGCAGGTAATCCTACAGTACACCCTGGTCTCACTTCGGACACTACTGGAGTAGTCCCAACTGTCGGGTCGATATAGCAGGTAATCCTACAGTACACCCTGGTCTCACTGCGAGCACTACTGGAGTAGTCCCAACTGTCGGGTCGATATAGCAGGTAATCCTACAGTACACCCTGGTCTCACTGCGGACACTACTGGTCCCAACTGTCGGGTCGATATAGCAGGTAATCCTACAGTACACCCTGGTCTCACTGCGGACACTACTGGAGTAGTCCCAACTGTCGGGTCGATATAGCAGGTAATCCTACAGTACACCCTGGTCTCACTGCGAGCACTACTGGTCCCAACTGTCGGGTCGATATAGCAGGTAATCCTACAGTACACCCTGGTCTCACTGCGGACTGGTCACTACTGGTAATCCAACTGTCGGGTCGATATAGCAGGTAATCCTACAGTACACCCTGGTCTCACTGCGAGCACTACTGGAGTAGTCCCAACTGTCGGGTCGATATAGCAGGTAATCCTATGCTACACCCTGGTCTCACTGCGAGCACTACTGGAGTAGTCCCAACTGTCGGGCCGATATAGCAGGTAATCCTACAGTACACCCTGGTCTCACTGCAGACACTACTGGAGTAGTCCCAACTGTCGGGTCGATATAGCAGGTAATCCTACAGTACACCCTGGTCTCACTGCGAGCATTACTGGAGTAGTCCCAACTGTCGGGCCGATATAGCAGGTAATCCTATGCTACACCCTGGTCTCACTGCAGACGTTAATGGAATATGTAATTCCATAGTATACACACACTTATCTAACTGCGGTCTACATGACCAATCCCGGCTACCATGCAGATTATACTACGTGACTACCTCTACCAAGGTATACTGAAGTAGGCTACCCATCCCCCGGTCTCACTGTTTGAGTTACTTGACAGGGTGGTAATATCAGACAGTCACTACCTGTAATCAAACTTAACTGATACCACTGTACAAACGAAAATTCGTAGTAGCTGCAAGTTCCAAAATGCCTTGTCACACGGCAGTGAGACGGGAGTAGTCATGGTCATTGTTGATTCATTGAGGATGCTTGTAAACATCACAAACACGTGGATGTATGTTGTTTTACACCGTGTATATGTTCGCAGGTGCTGCTGCTAAAATCGCAACAGGGAATCTCACCATCGGCCCCAACGGGGGAAACTTCAGCCTCATCAACATGAGCCACAACAACCACACCATTTCCCCCACTGAAGACTACTTCAAGTACGTATAACCTTCCCGGAAGGGATTCCTGGCCATAAATGATCCCAGGCACCTATGCTGGTTACCGTGAAGATCCGGGTTAGAATTGGTCTTCAGCAACCCATGCTTATCGTAAGAGGCGACTAACGGGGTCGGGTGGTCAGGCTCGCTGACTTGGTTGACAGATGTCTCGTAACCCAATAGCGTAGATCGATGCCCATGCTGTTGATCACTGAATTGTCTGGTCTAGAATCGATCATTTACGGACCGCCGCCATATAGCTGGAATATTGCTGAGTGCGGCGATATTAGTTACAATGTTTGCTAGGTTGAGAGATGGCAGGTCCTGTTTGTTCCTATCCTCGGCATCCGCGTCCGGCGACGGAAGATAAAATGTGATTGTTAGCAGACACTTGTGCCCGTTTCTCCGTATCTTTTAAACAACAATCTCCGATAAAACTACACATTTTGCCATTTCCAGTACCCCAGTCGCCCTGAATATGTAACATTAAACATACACACAAAACAGTAGAACTTGCGTCAGATATTTATTTTTGGAAGAGTGAGTGAGTGAGTATGGTTTTCGGACGCTTTTAGCATTATTCCAGCATTATCAAGGCGGGCGGAGGACACCAGAAATGGGCTTCACACATTGTACCCATGTGGGGAATCGAACCCGGGTCTTCAACGTGACGAACGGACGCTTTAACCACAAGGCTACCCCACCGCCCACTCAGACATAGCATACCGACTCTAAGCCAACTGGTCCTTGTTTTAACCTATCCCCACCGCCCCGGAAGAAGCAAATGAATTTACTTTGTACGATTAAACCTAGTCACCACCAAGATGAATGTAATCTTCACGATAAATTATGTTCATATTCTTTCTCTATCTCCCTCTCTCTCTACCCCCCTCTCTCTTACTCTGTCTGTCGCATTCTCTGCCTCGCTCTCTGCCACGTGTATTGTTGCAGACATTTCGTCCTGGAGATGACGTCAGGCCTGGAAGACATGGGGACCATCAACTGGAAAGTGTGTCTGTGCTGTCTGTTTGCCGGCATTGTCGTGTTGCTGGTGCTCCTCCGGGGAATCAAGTCACTCGGCAAGGTAACGAAGTGGAAATCACACCAAATATGGTTTACAGATCATAGCGGAGTAGACACCATCTGATGTATCGCCATACAGCTGGAATATTGCTGAGTGCGGCGTTATAGAAGAAACAAAACACCATCCGAAGATGCGGCCAGAGGAAGCGTGTGCCGTTTTGTATTCGCCCGGACTGGCGTTGGTTTAAAGTGCTACTCCACTCAGACATAGTGGGTGAGTTGGGTTTTAAACGCCGCATTTAGCAATAATTCAGCAATATCACGGCGGGGGACACCAGAAATGGGCTTCACACATTGTACCCATGTGGGGAATCGAACCCGGGCATTCAGCGTGACGAGCGAACCCCTTAACCACATGGCAACCCCAACGCCCACTCAGACATAGCATACCGACTCTAAGCCAACTGGTCCTTGTTTTAACCCCTTTTCGGCAAACGTCAGGCAGGGTAACGACTGCCATTGTTTCCAGGACTGGCGCCGGTTTTATGGTGCTACTCCTCTTAGACATAGCATATCGACTCCAAGCCAACTGGGCCCCGTTCCTCAAAGCGATCGTAGCGCTAAGGTGATCGTAACTCCCATACTTTAACATAGACCTACGACTGTCGTAGCGCTACGATCGCTTTGAGGAACGGGGCCCTGGTCCTTGTTTTAACCCCTTCATGGGTAACGCCAAGCAGGGTAACAACAACTACCATGTTGTAATGTCTGCTATGACAGTACTGGGAAAGCACATACTTTCTTTGTGTACTGTCTTCAATTTTACATATAAATCATGCACTTAAATATTACCCTCAGTACGATTCCTGATAATACCTGACAAACTATTACAGTTTACTCTAATTACGACGTCGAACATCCGTTTAGAGGCATTTTAGTCTCTGTCTGCAGTAACCCCCTGCTTGTCGTAAGAGATGACTAATGGGATCGAGTGGTTAGGATCATGGAGTGAGATGGATATAGAGTGAGACACAATTCAACTGTAACGGTTGTTTATGCAGGTTGCGTACTTCAACGCCACCTTCCCGTACGTGCTGCTGCTGTCCCTCCTCATCAACGCCTGTCTCCTCCCGGGGTCCACGGATGGCATCCTGTATTTCCTCACCCCCAAGTGGCACCGCCTGGCAGACGCCTCGGTCAGTACTGTACCTCAAGGACACAATTCTTTGTCTGACAATAGTACCTCAGTATTTCGGAATCCACAAAAAAATATATTTGAAGTGCATCCAATTAGCATATTTTAGAACTTATTTCCTTTTTACATTTATGCATAAATTACAGGGCCCTTTCCACAAAACGATCGTAGCTCTATGTTAGTCGTAAATTATTGTTAAAGTATGGGAGATCACATTAGCGATACAATCGTTTTGTGGGAACGTGGACAGGGCCCCGTTCCTCAAAGCGATCGTAGCGCTAAGGTGATCGTAACTCCCATACTTTAACATAGACTTACGACTGTCGTAGCGCTACGATCGCTTTGAGGAACGGGGCCCAGGGCGAGAAAGGTATGCTATATTATTTACTTATTGACCACTGGTTGGAGTACAATCTGGCGTCTCAAATGCCGGGCAAGGTTATCTCCCTTAGCCGCACCATGAATCGAATTGCTGTGGTTCCGTATCCCACATTTGACGAGTTTTTATCCTTGGTCTGTGAGCGTTATACTGGCAGATTTCTTCTCATTGGCGGTATAACCCAGAAATACTGTTTTAAGCGAGGCTCAGTACAACTCACTCATCAGATACTGGTCTTATTTAACGCCCATAAGCTTGAAAAGGGTCTATGACAACTGAAATCGCCCAGTTAGCTAAATCGTCCAGTCACTCACTAAAACCATCATAACCCTCATTCCCAGGTATGGAGCGATGCAGCAACACAGGTATTCTTCTCTCTCGGAGTCGGCATGGGCGGCCTCAACCTCATGGCCAGCTTCAACAACTTCAAGAACAATTGCCTCAGGTAAGAACACGTTCTTTGCGACAAGTGGTGGACAAACAATAGTAGTGGGATGCTATACTGGTTTCTCTTGTTCATGTCTCTGTCCAAGAACGCCTTATTTATTACACTATTTTCTAGGGATGCCGGGCGTTGAGGTAGCCTTGTGGTTAAAGCGTTGGCTCCTCATGCCGAAGACCCAGGTTCGATTCCCCACATGGGTACAATGTCTGAAGCCCATTTCTGGTTGTCGTTGTACTTGTGTCTGGGGACGCCATCCTGGTGCCATGTATGGACTATTATTGTCGTATTTGTGTCTAGGGACGCCATCCTGGTGCCATGTGTGGACTATTATTGTCGTCTTTGTGTCTAGGGACGCCATTCTGGTGCCATGTGTGGACTATTATTGTCGTCTTTGTGTCTAGGGACGCCGTCCTGGTGCCATGTGTGGACTATTATTGTCGTCTTTGTGTCTAGGGACGCCGTCCTGGTGCCATGTGTGGACTATTATTGTCGTCTTTATGTATAGGGACGCCGTCCTGGTGCCATGTGTGGACTATTATTGTCGTCTTTGTGTCTAGGGACGCCATCCTGTGTGGACTATTATTGTGGTCTTTGTGTCTAGGGACGCCGTCCTGGTGCCATGTGTGGACTATTATTGTCGTCTTTGTGTATAGGGACGCCATCCTGGTGCCATGTGTGGACTATTATTGTCGTCTTTATGTATAGGGACGCCATCCTGGTGCCATGTGTGGACTATTATTGTCGTCTTTGTGTCTAGGGACGCCATCCTGGTGCCATGTGTGGACTATTATTGTCGTATTTGTGTCTAGGGACGCCGTCCTGGTGCCATGTGTGGAATATTATTGTCGTCTTTGTGTCTAGGGACGCCATCCTGGTGCCATGTGTGGACTATTATTGTCGTCTTTGTGTCTAGGGACGCCGTCCTGGTGCCATGTGTGGACTATTATTGTCGTCTTTGTGTCTAGGGACGCCGTCCTGGTGCCATGTGTGGACTATTATTGTCGTCTTTATGTATAGGGACGCCATTATGGTGCCATGTGTGGACTATTATTGTCGTCGTAGGGACGCCATTTATGGTGCCATGTGTGGACTATTATTGTCGTGTGTCTAGGACGCCATTCTGGTGCCATGTGTGGACTATTATTGTCGTCTTTATGTATAGGGACGCCATCCTGGTGCCATATGTGGACTATTATTGTCGTCTTTATGTATAGGGACGCCATCCTGGTGCCATGTGTGGACTATTATTGTCGTCTTTGTGTCTAGGGACGCCATCCTGGTGCCATGTGTGGACTGCCTCACCAGTTTCCTGTGCGGTCTGGTAGTGTTCGCTGTGCTTGGCTTCATGGCGCATGACAAGGGGGTCAGTGTCGAGGAGGTAGCTGTCGGGGGTAAGTCACTTCACCTGGGTAAGTCACTGCACCTGGGTAAGCCACTTCAAGTGGGAGGTCACGAGGCGTGTGTGTTCGTGAGGTCTTTTTGGATGTTACGGATTTATCGTCGTGACCAAATTCATCAAAACATTGCCAGAACAGAAACATAGCAGGACTTTCATTAATACGCTGACGATGGGATACTCGACATAAGAGGTTCAAATATACAGTTAGCTGTACATAGGATGGCGGGATGGTTTACATGGAAGATAGTATAGTTTTCATGATGGTACTACAAAATATGCATAGGTTTTTTTAAAACACTAATTCTTGAAAACTTTGTTCTTTGCAAGATAGGAGTTTAGCCCAGAAACATACAATACGGCATTTGACTGAGATAATTAGGGGCACCCTTTCAAGCTCTCCATATAACATGTATAATGGTGTGTTTCACTTAACATGGACAGATTCGATGACTTTACAGTTTTCTTAACACCCGTGACAATTCATTGTAGGACCTGGCCTGGCCTTCATAGCTTACCCTGAGGCCCTTTCAAGGATGCCAGTTCCCACCCTCTGGGCCATCTTGTTCTTCTTCATGATGCTCATCATAGGATTCAGCTCCCTGGTAGGTTATACAGCAAGTCCTTGCAAAGGGTGAGTGAGTGACTATGGTTTTACGCCGATTTTAGCAATATTCCAGCAATATCACGGCGGGGGGACACCGGAAATAGGCTTCACACATTGTACCCATGTGGGGAATCGAACCCGGGTCATCGGCGTGACGAGCGAATGCTTTAACCACTAGGCTACCCCACCGCCCCTCCTTGCAAAGATGTGTGGGGTGTTTGTGGGTGGCAGTTGTGGTTAGGTGGGGTAAGGGAGGTGGCGTGAGGTTCTCGGAAGTTGCCTCAACATGTTCAGTTTCAGTATCCCTGATGAAGAACGGTGGTAGCCTCACCCTGTGACGTGCATATATGTCATGTGTTATGTCATAATGGCTGAGACGATTCTGGCGTTCCTGTTTGACGTATATATCTGTCATATTTAATCTTACCATGCCGGACACGATTGTGCAGTCGCTCTTAGACTTAAGGTAGCCTTAGTGGCGTATATACCAGTGGCGTTTCATATCAGCATGCCGTTTCAGTGGTGGCGTGCTCTGTGACGTGGTGACCATTTATATCTTACCCATGAAAAACTGGGTGCGTTGTACAAGCGATCTTAGATGACCGTAGCTCCCATACCTTAACATAGACTTAAGGTAGCCTTAGCGCTAAGGTGACCGTAGCTCCCATACCTTAACATAGACTTAAGGTAGCCTTAGTGCTAACGTTGTTTTGTACAGCAGCAGCCTGATCTTCAGCAACACCTGTAAGAGGATGGGGTGGTCGGGCTCGTCCTCGTACCCCAATTGTATAGAACGATGCTCATTCTGTTGATCACTAGATTGTCTGGTCCAAACTCCATTTTCTACAGACCACCGCCATATAGCTGGAATATTGCTGAGTGCGGCTTTAAACACTCAACCAGCGAACATATATATCTGTCATGTTTCAGTTCACGATGACGGAGACGGCAGTGTCCTCGCTCTGTGACGAATACCCTTTGTTGCTGAGGAAGACATGGAAAAGAACTCTCATCTTCCGGGGTATCGTGTCCATTGTTCTCTTCCTGTTAGCGTTGCCAATGACAACAGGGGTACGTAAAAGCTACGTTTCAATGTCCACAAATAATTCACAACCACATGGTAGTACACCTTAATGTTCACCAAAATATACTCTTAAAAAAAATTAGGAACTTGACATAGGACAAATTTGAATTTTAGGAAAATATTTGACACAAACCAATCCATGCTGAATCCCAGGATGTGGGGGAATTGCTGCCGACGACAAAACGTCTGAAAAAAAGAAACGTTGAACAAAAACGTAACGTTACATTCACGCACCCTACATGAAATGCTCGAGCATCATGAAATTGTGTATCACCCTGAGCTGAAGCCTATGAATGTAGGCTTTAAAAAGTCACATCAATGGTACTCCACATGCATTGCTTAAGCCACTATAGACAACAAGAGAATTAAAAGACTGATAGAAGCTCAACGACACAACGCCATCGGCCGTTTGCAAGGACGGACATCGCAGCATGATGTGGCAAGGCACTTCAGCGTGTCCAAACACACCTTCTCAAACTATGGACCCGATACCAAAATACTAGGAGTGTTAATGACAGACCCAGGCCAGGTAACCGCCGCCCAGGATCGCTACATCCGGTTGAGACATTTTCGTTCAAACACCGCGGCCGCATCATCCACAGCAATCCAAATCCCTGGACTGCTCCGAATCTCCGACCAGATGGCTATGGAAAGCCAGACTTTTTGCCAGAAGACCAGTTCAACGTCACGTCGTTCCCTACATCAACTTGATCTCTGGAGCATGACAATGCTCCACCTCACGTTGCACGTGTGTGACAGGTCTTCCTCCAGCAAAACAATGTTCAGTTGTTACCTTGGCCTTCTCGATCACCGGATTTGTCCCCATTGAGCATCTATGGGATACTCTTGATCGACGCTTGTGCCAGCGTCATCCGCCACCTCAGACACTACAAGAACTGCACACAGCACTTCAGTAAGTGTATCAAAACATTCCTGAAGACAACATTCGGCATCTGCTTTCTTCTATGGGTCACCGCTGCCAAGCTGTTATCGATGCTCATGGTGGTCACACCAGATACTGACATTTTACTCTGACCAAGTGGATTTAATAGCCCTCTGTGGTTTTACCAAACACTTTCTGGATAATCATTTTTGGGAAATTTGTTAAAGTGATGATTTTACTGTGACTGAGCAATGATGTCATGTTTGAATCAGTTATATGCACTCAGTAAGTAAACTCTTTTTGTGAAGAGTATATGAACGTAATATCAATATGTGCACATTGCACATGGTATACTCGGTATAGAAGTTTAGGACTTCCCGATATTTTCTTCGATTTTTAACTATAGTTATTCTGCCATGGTACGAACTAACGAGAGCAATATGAAATATATTGTATATATATATATATATATATACTCTCCAAAAAGAAACGCGTAATAAAAATAGCAATTTCATGTAGCAATGAATTAAAACGTGATTCATTCTACAAAAGGTTTTGCTCTGTATATGAGTCCTATGGTGTTTATGTTTTGAAACATCGCAACAAAACGCACCATCCGTAAAATACCCGTATTTAACAGCATGATTTTCAGTTTCGGCGTGTAGTGTCACAGAATACACAATTCCCATGCAATGCACGTGAAAGTTGGGGATCAGATAGTCTCAATGATGGGTATGAAAGGTTGATCGCTGTCTGTCGATTATTCACTGTATTTGGAATATTGTTGACGAACGCAAAATGCCACGTCTAAGTGAAGCCAACCGTCATATCGCCATTGGTTTGCTTGAAGCTGGCCAATCTCAACGTGCAGTTGCCCGACGCATGAATGTTCACCAAAGCACCATTTCACGGCTGTGGGAGAGATATCGCCGACAGAATGCGGTAGCGTAGGCGACCTCGAGCGACCACTGCGGCGCAGGATCGCTACATCCGGGTACATCACCTGCGTCATCGAACAGCTACGGCGACCAGTACCGCTCGACAAATACCCGGATTGAGGAGGCTTTCTGCACAGACCGTCAGGAACAGGTTGAGAGAGGCTGGTTTACGTGCCAGAAGACCTTATTTTGGCCCTGTGCTTCGACAACAACATCGTCGACATCGAGTTCAATGGTACACCAACGTTCAGGCCTGGAACCTACCGAATTGGCGTAGAATCTGGTTCAGTGATGAATCACGATTTCTATTGGAACGACGCGATGGAAGAATGCGGGTGTACAGACGTCGACGTGAACGTTTCGCAGACGGCCGGGGAGGTGTTATGATGTGGGGAGCGATCACCTGCCGTAGGAGAAGTGATTTGGTGATGATCCAGGGCAACCTGACAGCTCAACGGTACTGTGACGAAATCCTACGCCCACACCTCCTTCCAATCATTGATCGCCAGAGGGAGTTGTTTCAACAGGACAATGCCAGGCCCCATACAGCACGTCACGCTACAGACTTCCTCCAGAACCACAACATCAATGTGCTCCCCTGGCCCTCAAGATCACCGGACTTAAACCCGATCGAACATCTGTGGGATGCCCTGGACAGACGGGTGCGACGCCGTAACCCTCAGCCCCAGACACTTCAGCAACTCGCACAGGCACTACAGGCAGAGTGGGCTGCGATTGGGCAACACGAGATTCTGAGACTTATTCGTTCGATGCCGAGGCGATGCCGTGCAGTTCTGGATGCCCACGGTGGTCACAAGAGGTATTGACTTCAGCGCCACCACACGTCTCCATGTGACACTCAAACTGACTTTCCTCGAGTTTGTGCCAAAGACGGATAAGTCTGCATTCCCAGTGTGCAATTTCGCTATATTTCATGACGCATAAAGCCTACAAGATGTTTCAAAATAAAGATAAAAATACAGTTTAAATTCCTATACCCGCCGTGATGTTGCTGGAATATTGCTAAAGGCGGCGTAAAACCAAACTCAGTCAGTCAGTGAAATTCCTATATGCGTTTTTTTGGGGGGAGAGTATATATTGGGTGGTACTGAACATCTTTTGAGCGGGAAAAGTCAGAGGATGAATGGTAAGTAAACGTAATTATAGACAGATGTGTTATATGTGCTTGGACGGGCAAGGTTGCGCCTTCTAAGGTGCGCGATTCGTTGTGCAGAATTGCGTCCATTGGGTTCGACAGAAATATATGATTGTGAGCTCGAATTCAGGTTTCCCCGACTATCTTTCATGGTTGTCAGGTCAATGTCCTTGCTCGGAAGCTTCACAGAAATGATAAATGCCAACATCTGATAGGGTGTCCTCCCACAATTACCTGACACGCTGTTCAAAGTAGCATTGACTCAGTTGAGAAGTATTTGAGTTACTTCCCCTTCCTACAAGGCTGTCTATTGGAACTTTAATGTGTGGTTTTCCATAAGCTGTTATGTATTGTGCATTTGTGAATTGTTTGGTTGGGTGTCCAAGCTTAACGCTGCATGTAGTGATCGGTAACGACGTTGTTTTGCAGGCCGGCATCTACCTCATTGACATCGTCGACTCCTCTGTAGGCGGCTTCCCTCTGCTGATCATAGCCATCTCCGAGATCGTCGCTGTCATGTACATCTACGGTGAGTGACAGTCATGCATTATCAATTCAAGGGCCTCTAGACACAACGGGCACCCGTGAATACGTATTTGCAGTAAGTCGCTCTGTTTAACCAACCAATCAAAACACGGCCTATGTCCGGCGAGAGGGAAACCAGCGGGTGTTCTGACCAATGAGAGCAATGATTACATCCACATTCGGCGGTATGTCTCAGGGTGTGCTTCAGAGGTATCCCAACGGCGTTCTACGTTGATCATGCTATCAAGTACAGGAATCAACCCCCAGATATGTATGAGCAGTGCTCTGCCGTAAAACATCATGCACTCACTTTGCTTCTCACATTCAGGGTACGGAAGGTTTGCCGAGGACCTTCAGATGATGATGGGGAAAAAGGTGTCCGTGTACTGGAAGATGTGCTGGTGCTTCATCGCCCCAGTTGTTCTCGTAGTAAGTATACAAATCAGTCTACTCGAATAATCTTTTCCCAACTACGGGTCGCCCAGTAAGTAGCTGCGCCGCATTTTGCTGAGCAGAGTTGTGTCCCTTGGGCACGCCAGAACCATATGGTTGTGGGTTCGAATCCCGGTTCTCCTCGATTATCTTTCAAGGTTTGTCCACTCCGTTCGTGAGTTTCGCTGAGCAGAGTTGTGTCCCTTTGACATGCCAGAAAAAAATGTTGTGTGTTCGATTCCCGGTTAACCCCGATTATCTTTCTAGGTTTGTCAGTACCATTCCAGTGTTCGCGGGTTTCACCAGAATGTTAGACGTCAGAAACCTGCATCACCTCGGGCTTACGACATATAGCCGACACACCGTGACTTAAAGTAAATACTGTTAGAAGCAGAGGGAAACCCAACTCATTCCCCCGCTCACTCATTCCCTTGCAGGGGGCGGTGGGGTAGCCCAGCGGTTAAAGCGTTCGCTCGCCACGCCGAAAGTACAGGTTCGATTCCCCTCATGGGTACAATATGTAATTTCCATTTCAGGTGTTCCCCCCGCCGTGATATTGCTGGAATATAGCTAAAAGTGGCGTAAAACCCAATTCACTCACTCACTCATTCCCATACACTATTGACGGTTACGAGTTTATGTTTTTGACCGCCTTTCTTTTGGCTTTTGCATTCATACATGATTTTAAATTAGAGAGGGATATGTATCCACTTGTGGGCGTTATTTCCTTTTCGTGGACGAGATATAGGATTTGACAAACATTCTTCACTCAGCTTCTTCAGGGTTTGTCCTGTGTCTCCAGGGTGTGGTGGTTTTCAAGAGCTGCCGAATCCAGCCCCTGGGATATGTAGACTATATCTACCCAGCATGGGCCCAGGTACTGGGCTGGTTGGTCATGACAGTTTGTGTTATCTTCATCCCGGGCTGGTTCGTCGTCTACTTCCTCCGATATGGCGGATGCAAGGTGAGCAACATGACGTTACTAAAGTTAAGTAACACAACATGACGTTACTAACGTTAAGTAACACAACATGACGTTACTAACGTTGACCAACACAACATGACGTTACTAACGTTAAGTAACACAACATGACGTTACTGACGTTGACCAAAACAACATGACGTTACTAACGTTAAGTAACACAACATGACGTTACTAACGATAAGCAAAACAACATGACGTTACTAACGTTTAGTAACACAACATGACGTTACTAACGTTAAGTAACACAACATGACGTTACTAACGTTAAGTAACACAACATGACGTTACTAACGTTAAGCAACACAGCATGACGTTACTAACGATAAGCAAAACAACATGACGTTACTAACGTTAAGTAACACAACATGACGTTACTAACGTTAAGTAACACAACATGACGTTACTAACGTTAAGTAACACAACATGACGTTACTAACGTTAAGTAACACAACATGACGTTACTAACGATAAGCAAAACAACATGACGTTACTAACGTTAAGTAACACAACATGACGTTACTAACGATAAGCAAAACAACATGACGTTACTGACGTTAAGCAAAACAACATGACGTTTCTGACGTTAGACAACAGAACATGACGTTAAGCAAAACAACATGACGTTACTAACGATAAGCAAAACAACATGACGTCACTGACGTTGACCAAAACTACATGACTTTACTAACGTTAAGTAACACAACATGACGTTACTAACGATAAGCAAAACAACATGACGTTACTGACGTTAAGTAACACAACATGACGTTACTGACGTTGACCAAAACAACATGACGTTACTAACGTTAAGTAAAACAACATGACGTTACTAACGTTAAGTAACACAACATGACGTTACTGACGTTAAGCAAAACAACATGATGTCACTGACGTTGACCAAAACAACATGACGTTACTAACGTTAAGGAAAACAGTATGATGTTACCGACGTTAGGCAACACAACATGGCGTTATTGACGTTGAGCAAAACAGCATGACGTTAATTGCGATTCTAACTAACGTTATTTACGTTACTAACCAACCAACTAACTGCCCTCATTTGTTTGTGATTGATTTGAAATATTGAACATGGATATACATTAAGAGCGATTTATCCCTAACAGACATGCGGATATTGTTACAGATGATTAAAAAATTGTCCCGACCGGTTCCTGACTGGGGTCCCCGACTACCCGAAAACAGGACCGGCATATACGCGGACAGTAACACTCCTGCAGACATCCCCTCAATTGTTATCAGCGACGTGGACGACCAGGCTTCTGGCAACGACGTCAAAGGTGTAAGTACCAAGGGAGAAGATGGTTCGAAACACAGGAAGAGCGGAAAGAAACGGGACACACCTACTGGGCGTAAGGCCTCGCCAGCAGGAAGCATGAAAGGCAACAAGGTCGGAAGTGTCAAGGGTACCGGCAGGATCCATGACGTAGGAGCCTCCGAGGAAATAGAACGTATTGATAGCGTTAAAGGTGTTAAAGGGTCACCTCAAGGGCAGTTTGAAAGGGGCATCCGTAGCATCTGTTAAAGTCGCAGCCTCAACCGCTCTGAAAGGAGCGTCTGTAGCCAGTGTCAAAGGGGTACCCGTGACCTGCGTCAAAGGAGATACCGTAACCTGTGTCAAAGGAGCGACTGTAACCAGTGTCAAAGGAGAGACCGTAACCGGTGTCAAAGGAGCGGCTGTAACCGGTGTCAAAGAAGCGACTGTAACCAGTGTCAAAGGAGAGACCGTAGCCGGTGTCAAAGGAGAGATTGTAACCGGTGTCAAAGGAGCGACTGTAACCGGTGTCAAAGGAGAGACTGTAACCGGTGTCAAAGGAGCGACTGTAACCGGTGTCAAAGGAGCGACTGTAACCGGTGTCAAAGGAGAGACCGTAACCGGTGTCAAAGGAGAGATCGTAACCGGTGTCAAAGGAGCGGCTGTAACCGGTGTTAAAGGAGAGACCGTAACCGGTGTCAAAGGAGAGATCGTAACCGGTGTCAAAGGAGCGACTGTAACCAGTGTCAAAGGAGAGATCGTAACCGGTGTCAAAGGAGCGACTGTAACCAGTGTTAAAGGCGCACCTGTTACCATCGTGAAAGGAGCTGCCGCAGCCAATGTCAAAGAGACACCCATAATCAGTTCCAAGGCTACAGACGTCGCCAGTGTTAAAGAAGTATCAGTAACCAACAACCAAGGAGCCCCTGAAGTTCCAGTGATCCAAGACTTCAGTGAAGCGGAGGCCCCTGGTAAGCATGTAGGCTACCTGAAGAAAACACAAGATGGAGATATCGCTGTGTACGAACTGGAGGATGCTGCCATGGCGGATGTGATGCCGGGGCGAAGAGGTCAGTGGTAAGCGGTTGGGTCCCTGGCGATATGTGAGGACTGTAGAACGCAACCAGTCAGCCTCCGCGGAAGATGTCTGAACTCACCATGTAACCTTTGCATTGGCCTATATAAAAAAGGCCAAATTGAAAATACAGGCTGAATTGTATCCTTTTGAATTAAAAAAGGTGCACATTGTTTTGTTATTTCCGGTGAATCCAGCTGGCATGTAGGTTAACAGACACGACCTTGATGCACAAGGTCACTGATCCACACATTAGTACGTTTATTACACACTTCACTCACTGCAGTTAAAACACTGGAAGCAGGACGCCATGTTCCTTTGGATACAAAGCATTTATCAAAGTAGAGTAACCATGGTAACCAGCTTCGGGGAGTAAATTGACGTTCCTTAATCTACATTTTAGATGACGCCAGGCAAAACTGAGTAGACTAATGCGTCTAGGCTCCATCCTGACCTGACATTGACACGCCACCATATACTTGACCTTGACCTACAGCCAATGGTATATATGGTAGATCTTGATAACTCCTATACTACACATGAGCTCCACATTAAGAATTCTTTCCAACCATACTCTTTTCTTTATGCTATATGGAATATTATATACCTTTTATGCATTCGTATATTGTTTAATTTATTAAAAGTCACTTATTTGTACATCTGATATTAGAATATTATTATTATTATTATTATTATTTCACATTTACATTTACATACACATTATTTATGCAATAAACATTTTTATAACACGATCAAGTCTTTTTTTCAAGATCCCTTGGTAAATAAAATTTACGGTTATCAATCAGTATTTTTGCCGCATAAGAAAGGGATAGCTCAATGCGGGCCAAATTAAAACTTCACTTAAAACGATTTTTTGAAAGATGCACTGAAACTACCGTGTCCAGTACACTGTGACCTATTGGGTATTCCACATTGAAATGATTGTCGCCTACATTTACCTGTGTGTGAGAGGCCCGTGTACAGATCCCGTGGTATACTGTGACTTTCATTCTAGATCACACTTTGAGATGTTGACAATGTTCTCGATTCCAATTCTGCAATGTCGTATAGATGGCCGAATACAAAGTCTCCTCCGTTCAAATGTACGAATGATGTTTAACCCTTTGAAGAGAGAGACAAATTGTGATTCGGAATACCTCGTGTTACGACGTAAATTGTAATAAAAACGTACATTGTAATACTTGCAGCAAATTGTAATAAAAACGTAAATTGTAATAAAAATGGACGTAAATTGTAATACGCAAATTGTAATAAAAATTGACGTAAATTGTAATAATTTTCGTTGCGGTAAAATGTAATAAATATTTACGTAAATTGTAATAACAGTTTTAATCACTCGTAAATACGCGTGTGTTTGTTTTTCGTTGCATTTCATACATCAAATAAGCTTGTTAGGGCAATAACTCAAGAAAGAAATGATGGATTTTGTTCAAATTGGGTACCAAGGTATATTGGCGAGCTTCATCGACACAAGTGAAATTAAGTGACCTTGAGATAATTTGCAAGGTCCCAGCAAAATTCTGAGGGTTTTGCCAATATAAAGATTGTTAGCGCAATAACCCAAGATAGAATTGACAAATCTTAGCTGAATGACGAAAATGATATTCGTCCTGACATATAATCGCTATTAAATCTCTAACAGTCCTCTGTATCATGTCTTTTCGCAAATATCTGTTGAGGTTTTGATATGTATACATATAAAGTGGGGGTGGGTTTCTAACGGGTATATCTAAATAGGTATTCAGAGTTCTTTTCATCAATATAGGTGTAAGGCAAGGGGAAAATTTATCGCCTATATTATTTTCATTGTTTATAAATGATAACGTGTCTGACCTCTCTGCTTGCAATGATATTGGCATGACAGTGTTTTACATCAAGCTATTTCTGTTATTATTTGCTGATGATATGGTCTTGTTCAGTGAATCCGTCGAGGGCTTGCAGCGTGGTCCTGGTTTCTTACAGAGATATTGCGACAAGTGGGCCATCACTGTTAATACAGATAAAACTAAGGTTGTTATTTTCAGAAAAGGGGGTAGATTGTCCAAGAGAGAAATCCGGTATTATGGTGATCAGGTACTAGAAAATGTTAATAGTTTCAAATATTTGGGTATTGTCTTCTCGGCAACAGGTAGTTTTTCCCAGGCACAAAAGACTCTATCGGAGCAGGCTATGAAATCCTTATTTTCGTTGTCCAATCCATATATGTCCCCTGCGCAGCAGTATCAATTATTTAAAAGCTTAGTATTGCCAATTTTATGCTATGGCTGTGAAGTTTGGGGATTTATGGAAGCGCCAGCTATCGAAAGAGTCCATTTAAAGTTTATTAAGCAGGTTCTGCGTGTTAAAAGATCAACACCATCAGCTTTTGTCTATGGTGAAATGGGCGTACTGCCATTGATCACTATTAGATTGGTACGCATTGTGAAATATTGGATTAAGATTATCACCCGTGACGGAAACCGATATATAAGCATTATATATAGGGCTCTAGTCGACAATGCTCGGCAGAATCCAACATATACGACATGGGTTGCTCTCATTAGAGACTTGTTTCATTATGGATATGGTTTTATCTGGTTACAACAGAAATTGACTCTAAATTGTACAGCATTTATCAGTGCTTTTAGACAAAGGGTTATTGATATACATTCTCAAATGTGGAAATATAATCTAAGTTCACTTAGTGAAACAAGAATATATTTGCTTATCAAATCATCACTTACCATGGAAAAGTATTTATCTCAAATTGATATTATAAACTATAGGGTAGCTTTGACACGACTACGATTATCTTCTCATTCACTTATGATTGAGAAAGGAAGATGGGCTCGACCAAAACTAGCTTTAGAAAACCGATTATGTCCTTTTTGCAAAAATGACATAGAGGATGAATATCATGTTATCATGGTTTGTCCTAAGTACTTGACATTTAGACGTCGCTACCTACCTCTGGACGTATACAAGTCTCCAAACATGATGAAGTTTATAAGTCTTCTACAAACTAAAGTTGAAGTATTAACCTTCAACTTAGCCAAATTGTTTATCATATATTTCAGGTAAAAGCAAAACTATAATCTGAATTATCCATGAATGCTTATTTCCTTTTTAGTGCTATCTTCTGTCACGAAAGGTCTTTGCAAGTGGGTTGGGTTGGGTGGGGGAGGGGAGGCAAATGTTGGCAATGCGCTTTTGAAAGTATGTATGATGTATTTGTCATGTTGGCCGTTGGCCTATTAAAGAAATAAACACCTCACCTAGAATATGATACAAATGCAGCTGTTTTATGTTTTATTTTTCTACATATTATCTGTCAGCCTCAAGCAAATTGGTGTTGCTATGTTGCAGCCTCACGATCCCCATTTTGTGTGACTTTGTATCTTGGCTTGGTACTCCCCAAAAACACCGTAAAATCTGCAATAAAATGCATCACAAACTTCAGGAAACAAAAGATTGTATGTTTGAGATTGGTAGAAGTCGGCTAGAATCAAACTTAGATATTAAACCGCACAAAAAAGCAATTTGAAACTACAATCACTTGTTCAAATGACTCCTCCTTCTGTTTACTGAAAGAACTCGAGAAAGAAATGATGGATTTTGTTCAAAATTGGTACCAAGGTTTATTGACGAGATTTACCGACACCACTTGAATTCAGTGACCTTGAGTGTGTTAGATATACCCATTCCACTCTCTTGGAATCTCTACAGTTACGTCTTTGAGTCACTGGCGATGCTTTATCACGATTTCAGTCGTATCTCACAGGACGTAAGCAATCAGTTATCATCGATGGGGTAAGGTCTGAGAGCAGAGAATTAAGGTTTGGAGTGCCACAAGTGCCCAATCCTGTACACTGTATATAGCATACCCGTTGGTGATATAGCCCGAGCCCACAATCTTAGTTATCATCTCTATGCTGATGACACTCAGCTATATCTTGGGTTCAAGCCACAAACTGCATCTTCTGTACAGAATACCCTGCAGACAATAACAAATTGCATAGCTGAGATCAAATGTTGGATGAACAGTAATTTTCTGAGACTGACCGATGACAAAACTGAGATTCTCATCATCAGCTCCAAATAAACAAAATCAAAGTTCCAGGTCCCTGGAGTTTGTTCAACCAGAAAGCCATGCTCGAAATCTAGGTGTCATCTTTGACTCAACATTAAGCATGGAAAATCACGTCAGTAACATCTGGAAATCTGCATAATACCACCTAATGAACATCAGACAGATTAGCAGGTACATGGACACGCCATCAGTAAAATGCCTAACCCATGCATTTGTGACATCCCGTCTAGACTACTGCAACAGTCTACTCTATGGAATACAGCAGCAGTGCATGGACAAGTTACAGCGTGTTCAAAACACAGCTGCCGGACTCGTAACACGCACACATATGTATGTGCGCATAACACCAGTCCTGAAGGACTTACACTGGCTCCCTGTAAAAGACAGAGTTGTATTCAAACTTCTTGTGTTTGTTTACAAGTCCATTAAAGGGCTTGCTCCATTCTATCTCCAGGAACTAGTCAACCTTCACAAGCCTGGAAGGTCACTCAGATCAGCTAGTCAGCAAAGCTTAGATGTCCCATCTGTCCAAACCACAACATACGGGGACAGAACATTCAGCAGAGCGGGTACTGTACTCTGGAATGGATTACCTGAAAATGTCAGAAAATCGGAAAATATCAACAGTTTCCGATCTTGTCTCAAAACCATCCTCTTCAAACGAATATTCGACTAAGCGCACATGAGCAGGACACTGGATATGTAGCGCTATACAAACGTCTAATTTGATTTGATTTGATTTGATATACCCGTTAGAAACCCAGCCCCACCCCCACTTTATATGTATACATATCAAAACCTCAACAGATATTTGCGAAAAGACATGATACAGAGGACAGTTAGAGATTTTATATCGATTATATGTCAGGACGAATATCATTTTCGTCATTTAGCTAAGATTTGTCAATTCTATCTT